TGACATTGATTATAAGGAAACATTTTCACCTATTTCTAAGAAAGGTTCTTTTAGAATTATCATGGCATTAGTAGTTCATTATGATCTTGAGTTGCATCAAATGAATGTTAAAATTGTCTTTCTAAATGGGGATTTAGAGGAGGATGTTTATATAGATCAACCGGTGAAGTTTATTGAAGAAGGAAGGGAACACATGTGTATAAATTTAAGAAATCAATATATGGACTTAAACAAGTTTCTCAACAATGATATCTTAAGTTCAATGATACTATTCTATCTTTTGGATTTAAAGAAAACACTGTTAATCGGTGTATATATCTAAAGGTCAGTGAGAACAAGTTTATATTTTTTATTCTGTATGTTGATGATATCTTGTTTGCGACTAATGATCTTGGTCTATTAAGTGAGACTAAGAAGTTTCTCTCTAGCAACTTTGAAATGAAAGATATGGGTGAAGTCATTGGCGGATCTTGACCATTGATCTTGGGGGGCAAATAATATATTATTAATAAATAATAAATAAATATAAAAGAAAGAAAGAAGATGAAAGAGTGAATGGATAAAATTGTAGATATATACTTAAATATATTAAATGATCATTAAGTTTGACGGGAACAAAATCATAAATTATATGAGAGTTACAAAATTGAGGAGGGGTTGAGAGGATAAAATTGTAAATAAATAAATAAATAAATATATTAAATGTTCATTGAATTTGGGGGGCCAAAATCATAAATTACATGGGAGTTACAAAACTTTGGGGGGGTCATGGCCCCCCTCAGCTCCCAAGAAGATCCGTCACTGGGTGAAACATACTACGTGATAAGAATAGAAATATTTTGTGATAGATCACAAGGACGGTTAGGTTTGTCTTAGAAAACATATAATAATAAAGTTTAAGAGAGATTCAAAATGGAGAAATATTCAGCATCTTCTGTTCCAATACAAAAAAGAGACAAATTTAGTCTCATGCAATGTTCAAATAATGACTTGGAACATAAACAGATAGAAAATATCCCTTATGTATTTGTTATTAGGAGTTTGACATATGCTCAAACATGTACGAGGTCAGATATTAGCTTTGCAATTGGTCTGCTGGGTAGATACTAGAGTAATCCTGTATTAGATCATTAAAAAGTTACAAAGAAAGTCTTAAGATACTTACAAGGAATAAAGAATCGCATGCTTACTTATCAGAAAGTTGATCATCTTGAGGTAATTGGATATACAGATTCAGATTTTGTTGGTTGTATAGATACACAAAAGTCTACATTTGATTATGTGTATCTTTTAGCTAGATGAGCGATTTCATGGAAAAGTGTGAAGCAGTCTGTCATTGCTAGATCCATCATGGAAGTTGAATTTGTAGCATGCTTTGAGGTCACAGTTCAAGATAATTGGTTGCGAAATTTTATTTTAGGACTTGGAGTAGTTGATAGCATTACTAAGCCGTTGAAAATTTATTGTGATAATTTCGTAGCAGTCTTCTTTTCTAAGAACGACAAGTATTCCAAAGGTGGTAAGCATATGAAATTAAAATACTTTATCGTTAAAGAAGAAGTTTAGAAACGAAGAGTGTCAATAGAACATATTAGCACTGATTTTATGATTGTTGATCCTTTAACAAAGGGATTATCGTCCAAATTGTTTGCTAGCCATATAGTGAATATGTGCATTATGTTTATTAGTGAATATTGAATGTTAATGTTATTATTAATGCTTATGTGACACTCTAAGATCTTTAATGTATAAATTTATGAAATTTGTGTTTTTTTCTTTATTTATATGCATGTAAATTATGATAAAGAAAACAAATTATGTTATTATCATTAAAATGATATTATGTTTGAACCTATTATCAACTTTGCATTATAAAGTCATATTAAGGAGAAAGCGATAATAGAGTAGTACATAGAAGGAAGTATATTGATTGAATAACATGTAACAGATTATGACTATTATTACAGTTGTATCTTTTATTATGAATAATGATAGAACTAATTTATGTAAGGCCATTTAATGCGTATGATGTCTTAAATATTAAATCATAGAATGGTATGACATCATATGAGTAAAGTGAGATAATGTTATAATTAATTTAATTAATTAAGTATATTATATAATTAATGTAAAATATAATAATGGATGCAAATGTGATTTAATAAATATAAGGACTTATTGATTATCATATGAAGTCAGAATAAAATAAAATAAAAGTTTACGGTAATCAACTGAATGAATGTTGGTTAATGAAAAAAGATTATGATTTTATCTCTAATTATAAGGTTATTTTCACATTAAATCATCAAAAATAATAATAAAACAATAAAAAGATAAATTAAGAAAATGATATTAAAGAGAAAAAATTTAAAAAATAAATTATCTCGTGTTAGTCTTTTTTATTATGATTTATGTATATTATGTAAAAAAATCAAGAATTTAAAAATTCTGTAAATAATATTTTAAAATAGGTTAGAAAGGTAAGAAAACTATGTAAAAGACGACCCTGAAATGCAGAGTTACACAATTAATACCGAGAAAAAATAGTGGTGAACATGTGTTTGACCTATTCTGAGTGGTCCATGAACCCAATGATGTACTTAAAGTCTCTAGGTAACATGTACTATACAATGGTTGGGTTGTTATACGTCAATATCCGATTTCGTTTAGGCCAGTATAAAATTTATTCGAACATTATTTTTTGAAAAAATTGAATAATTAAATAAAAAACAATATTAAAAAAAAAAGTAGAAAGTAGCAAAAAAAGTTATAAAAAATATCTTGTGTACAATAATTAGCGTTCGCAACACGCACAATACACGCCCTCATCTCAGCAGCTGAAATATGAAGGCGCAGAAACCTAGTTTTAAACCAAGTGCACAGACGCAGGAAGGAACATACACCCGGCAAAATAAATACTCATTTTTTATTCAATATTTGTAGATGGTCGTATCTGCATTAAAATGTTTTTTTATGAAAAAAAAATTGAGTGAATAAATTTTACGGTATAATTCATTTTTATAAAAAAATTGAAATGTTTTAAAAAAATATATAGTTTGATAAAAAATTTAAAAATAAATTAAAATTATGAAAAAAAATGACTACTTAAAATAAATGATTTCTTACTTGAAAAGAAAAAATAGAATTTGAAGTTTATTTTTTGTTCTTATTTATGATTTTTTTATTTTACTCTGTCTTTTACTTAACTGGTTGATTAGAGTTTTGATTAAAATATAGTCCAATTGGTTGAGATTGGGATGGGGTTAACTTGTCCTGAGACGTCGTCGTCAGTTCAATATTATTTTTTGTAATAATATATTACGAGATTTCAATACTAAAATTTATTTTTTCAAATGTCCAATAGAAAACTTTAACAAGTTCAAAAATAATCGTGTCGGTCAATATCAGTTATCCCGCATAAAAATCGACCCAAAAGAACACGACCAATGATGCAAAAAATTTAATCCGGATAAATAGTTATAGTCAAGATTGACTAAAAATAACCTTCAACCAGAGGAAAAACTCTCGTATTTTAGCTGGAAAAAATTACAAACTTTGACCCAAAAATAATCTAGCCTAAAAATATTGCCAGTTAATATTTTTGAATTATTAAATATTATTTAGAATTAAAGTAATTTTTTGTATTTGGTGATAAAAATATTTTGTATAAAAGAATTCATTAAATTTAAATTGTCTTATCTAAATAAATAAAGTATTTAGAAAATGAAATAATTTAATACTGGAACCATATCTATGTTGTATTTGGGTGTTTGAAATATGAATGAAAAATAATGTTATTGCTGTTTGTGAGAGCCACACCACACATGTGTTATCAGATATACGTGAGATGTACATCCTTATGTTGTCAATGTACATGTACTGCTTGGTTTATTAGCTTTGAACATTGGTACTTCAAATATGAAACCAATAGCGGAATATTATTTTATTATTAGCTTTGAATCTATTTACCCATTTATCTGATAAATTAATTCCCAGTGTTAATAATGAAAAAAAGAGGTTTTGAAATGAAATTAGAAACATTTTTTAATAATGGATATTGTCCTTGGATGTGGTTTCCACTATTTAAGGTAAAATAAAAGAGCATTTGCTACCTTTTTCTTTTCATGATGGTTGTGTATTAATCTATGGAATCTTGGACTTTGAATCGTGCAAAGGAGATGAATTTTCTATATAATTGTTTTGAGCATTAATCTGTCGATGAGTTGGTTGATGTGCAAGAAAAGGCTGAAGTTAATTGCTAACCATGTTACACGATAACAAATGGTAACTGAAAAAAAATTAATAACTGAAATATAGTAAAAAATTTAATCAGGTACTGAAAGCAAAATAAAATAAAATAAAATAAATTAATAACCTTCCGAGAATGTGCAAGTTTTTGCATGCTACTAATTAACGAGCATGCATTAAGGTATTCCATCTTGTAAATGGTGGAAACGCTTACGGTCTCTTTCAGTAATTTCCCGTTTATAGATTATGGAAATGAACTTAGTGTATGTATATCACTACACATCCTAAGATTTCTTGATATTCTTATGGGAAATTCTTCAGATGTCTGTATTAGTGCAAAAGCAATTGCCAACTTCTAATTATGATATTTCAGTCTGTCTCTTTTCTTCTTCATCCACGTCAAGCATCACCTGTGACATATCTGGTGTATATAGCCTTCAAATTTCAACTGCCATTCCATTTGGTGAATCATATCATGGATAGTGTCACATTGTGGTTGAGACTTGTACTGTGAAACAAACTTGTGGACCTTCCTATTTGCTTCAACCAAACTAGAGCCAGGTTTGCACCAAGTGTTTTTCAGGCATTTCTGTCCTGATCCTGGCCAATCAGTCCATTTTTTAGCCCTTGCATACATACTTACTAACACCAAACAGTCCCCGGGTGTTTGATTCAACTTGAAAAAATGCTCAGCTGCAATCTTTCCTATTTCCAAGTTAAGGTGAACTTTACAAGCACACTAAGAAGGCTTCTCAAACCACATCATTAGGCTTAATTGTCGTGCTTGTTATGAGGTCATAGGCTTCCTTGAGCATCCCAGCTCTCCCCATATGATCCACCATGCAACCATAGTGCTGAGTTCTTGGTTTGATTTTATGTTCAAGTTGCATGCGGTTGAAACATTGAAGACCGCCATTAACAAAGACTAGCATGACTGCAAGCACTAAATACACCCACATAAACAACATCATCAGGTGCTAAACCTTCTTCCAGCATTTCAGTGAAAACCCTTGGAGCATCCGTACCGCACCCATGAAAGGAGAGCCCTTTCTCAAGACTCCCACATTTCACATACGAATCAATTAGTGAGGTCTTGACAACAACATTGAGCTCACTAATGTTCTGCAACAAGATCCCCTGTGCAACTTCCAAGATTAGATAAACCCAAAGTAGTGCAAGAAGAAAGTGCACTAACTAGAATGCTCTCTTCGGCCTATGGCATCCCTCACTGCTCATGAGCCCAAGAAGCATCAAGCACTCTTGCCACATTTCCAGACCAGCATGAGCACCGATGATGGAACTCCACTAAGCCACATTCCTTTCATCCATTTGCACAAACACACCACAAACATGCTTTATTTCCCAACACTCACCATACATGCCGATCAAGCCAATTTGCACAAAGATATCATCCTCAAGATCTGCCTTAAAAACTTGACCATGAATTTGCGCTCCCTCCTTGAGAGCATCTAATATCGAACATACCTTGAGTACAAAGGGGTAGGTAGGTGTTGTCAGTTTCAATTCCTCTTTCAAGCATCTCAACATAAAACAACAAATCTTTTTCTAGATTCATGCTATTGATATTTCCTGTATTCGTGGTATTGTGCTCAAAGCTCCCAGGTTCCCCAGTTTGCCTGAAGATTGAGCAATCATACTCCATGCTGCCCCATCTGGATGAAGCACAAGGGGCAACAAGATTGCTGCCACAGAAAGAATCCCAGAAAAGGCCCAACTTTAGAATTTGGGCATGAACTTGCTTGAATTTTTCCATGCTCTTGCATCTCTTGAGCAAAGACAACCATCCCTGCTTATTGAACTTTGCATTCAATTCAAATCTTACGGGTGGATTATTTGAAAATGACAAAAGATGGGATTGGGAAAGGACAGATGTCCCACTCATCCTTCCATACACTCCATGTTAAACCACCAAGCTAAGCTAAACATAAAATAGTATGCATCCCATTATCTAGTCAATAAGATACAAATTACTGTTGATGATACTAACTTTCAATACAAGTAAGAATTAACTCAAAATCTCAATATAGAATCTGAAGATAGATGGTTATGCACCAAAAAGAATGAACTCTATGTTCCATGATGCTAGGAAAGTATATCAGATGGCTGCACAGTATTTGACAAGTGTGTATATGTATGAAACTGGGGGGTGATCCCAGTTACTGAAAGCAATGGTGTGGTTTTGGCCTTTTGGGGTGTGACAGTGGAAAAAGATTTACATTTTTCTTTCAGAGGGCTTTTCAGAAGAATAAAAAAAAATGTTAATTTTCATAGGATTTCAATGTGATCCCTGAAACTTGAGACAGCATTTGCAGCCACAAAAAAGGAACATCGCATCATGGAACACGGGATTTCTAGATAGGATAATATTTAAGCCCACCAGATTCTCCTCACAAGTTAGAAGGCCTCTCTTGCCATGTGTATGCTTGGGTTTAGTTGCGTAATTGTACAAAGCATAACCATAACACTAATTGTCTTCTTAGTTTGTCTTGCCATACCTCCACTAGGTTAATAACCACAAAAAAGTATCAGAAGACAAACAATTTGAACGTAAAATTCAAATTTACAATTTGAACGTGAAAATAAAAGGCATATCATGCCTAGATTATGCTTTCTTCACTTCAGTAGCACCCATTCATGAAATATAAATAATAAAGCCCACAAATTTGAAATAACATAGTTTAGCGATTATAAGATGAAATTGGAAATACATAGTAAGAAAAACACAACAATGTCCTTTTTGATAAAGCAAGTAATTCATACTTTGACAATTCAAAACAGCCCAAAAATAATAAGGCCACTTTTGGTTGTTTGAATGACATGAAAGAATGAGAATGAAACTGACTTATGAGTTATTTTGACATATTTTTTGGTGTGATTAGCAAGGAAATGAATTTTTGGTGTAGTAAAATAAATGCACTATGGGAAGTAAACTAAAAGGGAAAAACAATAAACAATTGCAAGAAACACCTCGCAAGTAAATTTTGTGTAAGGAAATCATACAGAAGACAGATACAGGAGATAGTTTACCTGGCCAAGATGGTGATCTTCAATAATTGTGGAGAGCCAGGAAAAAATATGATAAATTAGTTTCACAGCTAGAAGGGATTTTATTTTAACGTTGTATGCCCAAGCCAATCATGCTAGGTGTCCGCTAGTTCAGCACAACACAGTTCAATGAAAGACATTAGGTAGTTGCTGGAGCAAATGAATGCATTCCACCATCAGGTAGTAGGCCATCCTTGGCCATTTCAGTTAGCACATTCAAAACAGCATCCATGTTACCTTCTTTAAAGTTAACCTCAACAAGAACTTTAGCTACCTCAGCATCATTCAGCTTGCAACTCCTCAATACATTTTGCAATACGAGACTCAGCTCATCATTCATCCCTTCCCTAGATAGAGCCTTAAGAAGAGCAATTACAGTCACTGTATGAGAAACAAAACCATAATGTTCCAACTCCATATACATATTATATGCCTTGTGAACATTTCCGCTTCTACAATGTCCATGTATTATTAAATTATGAATTGTTGCATTAGGCTTATGATTCCTCTGAAGCATTGTCTTAAAAACTCGATCTGCTTCATTCATCAAACCCTTCATGCAGAATCCTTTCACAAGACCTACCACGCTCTTAAATTCATTATTACTGCAGTTTTCGATCAGTGTATTGTATGTTACATGATTTGGTACAGACTCGTCATAAAACAATTTCAGAAGAAGCTTCTTTGCTTCCTTTGTCCTAGCCTTTTTATTAAGTCCATTAATAAGCACACTATAGGTAACATCATCAGGCAAAAACCCCCTCTGCATCATTTCATCGTGCAAACCAAGAGCTTTACTCAACTCACCCTCAACGCAATGAGCATTAATCAAACTAGTATACGTAACCGCATCAGGCGGGAGACCCCTGTGCAGCATCTCTCGGAACAAATCAAAAGCTTCCACCAGTTTCTGCTGCAGACAAAGACCCTGTATGAGCGACGAATATGTAACTTCATCAGGGAAAACACCCTTCTCAACCATCTCCTCCTTCATTCGGAACGCTTTCCCTAGCTCTCGCTCTCGGCAAAACCCAGCTATAACAGTGCTATAACTAACAACATCAGGACACAACCCCCTCTCAACCATCCCCCTCAAAATCCCCACAGCATCCTCCAACCTTCCCAGAAAGCAATATCCATGGACAAGGGCGTTGTAAGTCACAACTGACGGCGAAAATCCATTAACAATCATCTCACTCAAAACCTTATAAGCATCATTCAGCAACCCTCGCCGGCAGAACCCATCAATCAAGGTAGTGTAAGTCCTCTCATTCGGCCTCAACCCCCTAACACGCATATGTTCGAAAATCTCCATCGCTCGACTCAAATTCCCAGACTTACACATACAATTGATCAAAGTAGTATAAGTAACAACATTTGGAGACAACCCCTTCCCAACCATCTCCGAAAGCAGCACAAACCCCTGATGGAAATTCCCCTCTTTACAAAACCCATTAACAAGAGTATTATACGTGATCTCATCAGGAATAAACCCTCTCTCACTCATCTCCTCAACCAATTCTCCAACCTCTCTCATTCTCCCTTCACCACACAATCCATTAATCACCGAATTGTACGAAATCAAATTCGCAACCACGCCCCTCGCCGCCATCTCTCTCAGCAACACCATCGCCTCCTTCATCATCCTCCTCTTGCAACATGCGTCAATCAGCGTGTTGTAAGTAATTACATTCGGCGAAATCCCTTCCCTCTCCATCTCGCGCAAGAACCCGAACCCCTTCTCCAAGTCTCCCCGGGCAACGACGCCACGAATCATGACGTTGTAAGTGTACACGTTCGGCGACACACCATTGCGGATCATGTCACGGAACAGTTGTTGGGCGTGGCGGAGGGAGTCTTTGTGTTGAACGCGGCGTAGAAGAGCGTGGAGGATGGCGTTGTAGGACAGGACGGCAAGGGCAAAGCCGTGGCGGGTGGCGAGGTGGAGGACGGCGAGAGCTTTGTCGGGGAAGTCGAGGGTGGAGAGGGATTTGACGACGAGGTCGAACGCAGCAGCGGCGGAGGAGGAGGAGGAGTTGCAGAGGTGGTAAGTGTCGTGGAGGTGGCGGAAGAGGTCGGCGGCGGTGTGGTGGAGGAGGGTGGTTGCGAGGGAGTGGGCGATGTTGTAGAGCTTGAAGCGCGCGAGGATGTGGAGGGCGAGACACTTGCAATGCGGGCTGAGGAAATGGTGAGCCTGAACCTGAGCCTGGGCTTGGGCCCATGAGAGGAATTTGAGGAGAATGCGTTGATCGGATTGGGAGTGGAGGAGAACGTAGGATGCAGCTTGGGGAGTGAAGTGAGGAGAGAGTGATGTGAGCATTTGAGGGTGGCGTTTCAGGTACGCGATTGCTTTCTCCCCAATGAGAGCGTCATTGGAAATTGAAGAAGAAGAGACGAGAGTGGCTGTGGCTGTGGTTGAAGAAAAGTAACGACACTGATACTTTGGTTTGGGGAAAACCATTGTGGTTTTGGCACTCATACGATACGCATTAACGTTACTATCTCCCCCCCCCCACAGAGTTTGTACCACCCAGAACTGACGCCTACATATTTCCTTGTCTTTTCAATAATTCATACTTCCATTCCATTCCATCTCATTTCTTCTATTTTAATTCTCATATATAATTTTTAAATACGTCTTCGTAATTTATATAAGACTACTGAAAACACTCTCCATATTGTTGTTTAGTCATAAAATAATATTAATATAATAAAAAAAGATTGGACCAAACATTGAACAAATAAATACATAAATTCGGATTAAAATGTTCAATCAAGATTAGATTAAAGTTTAATAAAATAATATATTGGTATATCTTTTATAATATAATAATATAAAGTATCAAATAAATTAATTAATAACAGTAAATCCCTTCTAAAATTATAAATATAATAAAATTTATCATATGATAGTCGAAAATAGTAATAAAAACCATATAAACAAAGTATAATAAAAATAATTAAAGATTAAAAGTTATAAGATAAAAATGTAAAAAAAAAATTACCTCAATCTCGTGTGACATAAATGATGTAAAAGGAAATAAATATTAACTTTTAAAACATAATTAAAAACCAGTTGACTCGTTCAAATAACTCGATGTTGTCACTTTTTCTTCCGGTTTTTTTCGATTCAATTTGCGAACTGATTGGCTAATTACCGACAATGAAATGAATAATTATTAAAAATTTATCATTTTAATAAAAAATATATACACTACTATTTAAAAAAACTAAAATATAACCTTAATACAATATATCTACAGCAATATAATGGAATGTCTTAATTTGGTGTACATAAATTATTTTTTATTTTATTCTTAATAATATTTTAAAATGACAGTACAAAACTGTCGTCAGATGTTTATCTTTGCAACTTCTCCTCATTTAACTTAATCTATAACTCAAATAAATTAATAGTTGAATATAGGTTTAGGGTTCAATCAAACATGGCATAACTAGTTCCATTATGAAACATGAGATGGCATCTCCGAAAAGTGGAAAGAATTTCCCTTTTTTTCCTATTCAAGGACAATTGCATGACAAATATGCGACCAATGAAAAATATGATATATAAAGCTGACCAAGTTTTACTAAAGGTACAAAAGCAACTACAGTATCTTCGGCTCCTTGCATTTAGAGGAGAAAAAGCTCCTTCAATCGAAAGATGGAGCAAGGCAATCATCGAGCAAATGCACAATGTTTGGGTTTTCCATTGCAGCTGCTATGCGTTCTTTATCCCTTAATTGTTTGTTAACTGCATATACATTTGTGACAAACAATATTAGAATGCAATAGTATGTGTCCTGTCATGATCAATCATTTATAGAAAAGAATTCTAAAAATGCCAGGAAATTTGTTCGTTTATAGACTGGAAATCCTGCAAATTGCATTTGAAAGAAGCGGATGGGGGGCAGGAATGTTGTGTTCAAGTAAAACAGGTAAATCATCAAATAAAATGAAACACCATCTACTTCTTTCACCCAAAAAAGTCCAAATCCAAGAAGAATGTTGTAACAGGTTTGTCAATGGCATGCATTACTCCAAGAAAGAAATGGCATAGGTAATCATTTAAGTAGAAAGATATAGATCGATATTTGAAGTACTACAGAATGCTTCAGTACACAAATGGTCAAGCCAAAAACATATGAGCAGCAACACATACCCACCCAGAGTGAGAAAGAAAAAAGTAAGCAAATAATACCTTCATCTACAGTTGTATGAGATCCAGGTGCTACTCTGATATCCACCTGACCGGAATAAGTAAATAAACATAAATAACATTGTCAGAAAGGGGTTCAAAGACCGGCAGAATATTTGGTTCTCTCAACTGACACCCACAAAGAACCATGGAAGCATAGATTATGCTTTATAAACGCCATAGTTTGAAAATATATACCATCGTACATTAAGGTAAAATACAAAAATCTTACAGACAAGTAAAAGAGAAACAAAGCCTGGATTATGATTAAGATGTCAAATAGTATTGCAAGTCCAAGATATTATGAAGAGAACAAATATACCAACCGCAGGAGCCAGCATGTGCAGCTCTAAAATTCTGTGAAGTGGAACTAGTTAATCTTTAATTAAGAAAGTATTAGAAAAACAAAAGGATGTTATGAATAGGCGTGGCAAAAGTCAAGTGTAGGAGAAGGTTTTACCATCGCCAACCCCACCAAGAATAGGTGTGGGTTTAGGGTAGAGTTTCAGGAAGTAGGTATAAAAAAAATTAAACCAAACCTCATATCCACTGGATTTGAAGAAATACAGGGAAAGACGGTCCTATCCTATTTTATTTCATAATTTAATTCAAATTCACTTACATATTTTTCAACTAAACCATATATGAAGTACATTTTAATTCAAACAATACATAAAAGGAGCCTTGGTGATTGGTCGGTCATGGACTCGCATGTGGAAACAACTTCTTCATATATGCAAGGGAAAGGTCGTGTATAATGACCATCTGCCATACTTTGATGAACCAAAGAGCCTTTGGCACTAACGTACTTTAGGTTTTTTATTCAAATAATATATAAAATAACATCAAGAATTTTGTAAAAAGGAAAAATTTAAGAAGTAAGAACTAAATCTTATTTTTAGCAAAATGTGTGATTTCAATTTTATTATTTAAAGCTCCAAAACTTATTATTTACCCATTATTTTAATCATCTAAAATACTTACCTTTATAATAGTTAGTTTCTATTTTCAATGATTATGACAAATGTCAGAAGAAATAAAATCATAACTGATAACTCTACTTCTCTGGACAACACAATGGGATTGAAGGTTGATGGTACTTATACTCCAAAATTGTGCCTGCCTTTACAAATTAAGAATTACATAGGCACAATCAAAGTAGTTTTTTCTATCCAAATTGGGTTGGAATCAGACAAGTACTTCGGGCTTGAATTAAATTACCTTTTCTTATAACTCAAGAAAAACATTGTGATAGACTAATCAAAGCCTAAACCCTAAATAGTATCTGAATAAGGTGCATAGATCAAGCCTAGGTTCCAGATAGCAAGAGCTCTCTAATGGTCTGGTTTATTAGATGTTTTGCGGCTTTCAGCCTCATCTAATGGGTTTTTTTAAAGGTCTACAATCGACATATTCTTATCTAGTATGGAAAGGTGATGCTCGGACAAGAGTTATCTTGATTCTGCTGTTATTATTCCATCTGTTGACTTCTATAGAACAAAGGAAACAACAATTTTACACTAAGGAAAAAATATGTGCTGCCTCTTTACCAATGTCTCCCACATATTTAGCATTGATTATTTTGTCAGAATCTAGAAATCATTCAAGCAAGAACAAGGGATTCCAAAACATTTGCACATTAATATTGAAATTAGAATTCACATTCACTTTTTTTTTGCATTATATCATAAACAATCCATTACTTTTTCTAATCTCACTCTAGTTAGTATTAACAATCTTTAAGTTAAGGAAGTATTTTCACTTAAAGCAGTTTTTCTGAGTGCCCATGGGTACAGGTATGACCATGGGCAATCAATAGAAAGATCTTCTCTTAATTATATACAACGTAACCATCAATACATTTTTTCTTCTCCAACTCAAAATAATCAGAGCAACTAATCACAGAAATGTGAAAAATACCTTGTATCGTGAAGGCAAGCTTCTCATGAGCTTGACATGTATGCATAAACCTATAATGGTTACCATACTACAATGTTGCACTGTTGGAGTAAATGTTACCCTGGTGAAAAACCCAGCCACAATCCAATAAAATAAGGAAATTAACATTGCATAATCCAGATGAAGTGTGGATTGAAAAATCTAGAAACTCAATAAAATGATTAATAATAATAATAATAATCACAAATACCTGACATAATTCCGCTTGTCATCAACTTCAATTGCTTCCTCCGTGACCACCTTAAGCTGTTCCAAGGAGTACGAGTACTCAGGGTCCTTTATATCTCTTATATGATGTGAGAATGTTAAGAAAATATTGAAGTTACAATTATCAACTTTTATTTATTTTCCAAGTAATTACTGAAAGAAAATAACTGAAATTTGAAATTTAAAAAGGATATCAAAAACTTCTTGCTGGTCAATTGGTTCAACAGCATACTCATCATGGAAAGTAGATGGAGCAGTTCGTGCTCGACGCTCTTTCTTTTCATATATGACAGGGTTTGCATTGATTAACCCAGATACCATTTTGGGCAAGAGTTATAACTTGCTCGGGTAGGGCAACAAAAAGAAGGATGAGGATTTAACTGGAATTATTCAATTTATTATTACAAAACCAACAGATATGATAACTGTGTCCTGGACGGAAGGAATATCAAGGTTTTGAATTAGACTCTTTTATGCTGCATTTAGAAAAAAAAATATTAAAAAATTGGTCCTGAGATTTAAAAATAATAATATTATATACACAAGTGATCACAGTTTAGTCTGGTATAGGAAATTAAACCAACAAACCACTGGCAAAATTTGCCATTACTTTTACACAGAGCATCCTCGCAGCAAAGCAAGCTACAACTGAATAAATCAAGAAAAGAAATCTTAGTTTTCCTGTTTCTTGGTACAAAGCTTTCTAGTACAGTTCTCTCCCTGATTAGAGGAAGTTGTTGTTAAGGGTGGGCATGGTTCAATTCAGGCAGGAAAAATGAACTGAACCATTAATGTAATTTGGTTTCTAGATGCTAAACTGCTTTTAATGGTTCATTAACTGGTTTGGATTTCAATGAATTGGTTCAGAACCAGATTAGTTCCAAACCAGCCCTAAAATAGTTTAAATGGCATCTTAACTAAATCAGTTTTTAAATTGTGAAACAAAATCAAAGGAGTAACTAGTATATTCTATTTTGGATGAGAAAAGAGGACAAAAAATGCCCAATAACTATCTACACAAGTTGAAATAGTTAGCCTAACAGTCATGCAGAAAGAAAAATCACATGTAATAACAGAGGTAAATGTCCAAAGCTCAACTTGTAAGTTGATTGTATATTATTTATTGTACAAGAAAATGAAAGAAAAAATAACCGCCTCATGCAGGTGCAATGTTTAATCTGTTACAGGGTCAACGAGATTTTATTTTTGTTACTAGGTTCTCAACTTGATCACCCATCTCCCTCCCTCACTCTTTTTTCTCATCAAGTACTTTATCCTCCTATTTCATACAGCTCTTTTTGATTTAATTTGTTTGAGTTAGTTTCTCTATCTGAATCAACATATGCTTCTTGGTAAACACAAATTACAGTCATACCCATGAATTATGTAAAAAGGTTTAATTTTTAACTTTTCCATAACAATCCTTACCCAAAGAACTGAACTTCACTACTGCAGTCTAAATTGTTAGTAAAGATTTGTTTTGCTTTTGATTCTACACCTTTACTCATTCACGGATCATGTTCCTCTAAAAATATCGAGTGAGAATCCTAAAGTAATCATTTACACGTGCTAAGAAGCAAAGTATTAACCAATTAGAAGAAAATTTAATATTAATCATACATACACCAGCATAATATTGCAAAGAGCTCCCAAATCAATTCATCTGTACGCACAATTTTTTTTCTTCAAGCAAAAACATATTTTTTGACCTTCAAAAATGCTCAGGATAGGAAAATGACACCTTCCAAGTGAATGTTGCACGTAGATAATACAGTGCTCTCCCCCCACTCCACCTTTGGGGCATTCCTTGACATTTAAATAGTCCAACTAGTCTAATTAATCCTAAGTGCCAAACAAACCTGTTAGTTGCTGCTTTCCATTCAAATAAAAGAACCCTTTCCTAGCCAAATTACCCACCAATAAACTCTTTATCAGCACGCTTCTTAAAGATTATATGTTGAGGCTTACCCTTACCATTATAACCTATTTCTCACATACTACGCAAACTTAAATAGTTAAATTACATTTATTCAGAGAAAGAAAAAATAATGAAAAGCTATAGTCTATGTAGTGTACTCCTGCACATAAAAAACTAAAACATGGCACAAACAGGGATACAGTTTCTTTCTTTCTAAAATTCAAATATCATCAGGCACGAGCAATGCTCGTCGCTTTCTCTTATTATTGAACCTAGGAGGGATAACAGAGCACGGGGTATCATGAGGCCACAACCAATAACAACAATCTAACACCGTATCCCTACTCCTCTCATCTTATTATATACAACCCACCACACAATGAATTTTCTATTCTCAAGCAACTTCAACAACGTTTACGTCAAAATTAAGAAAAACCAATTTACCGTAAAATTGAAATTTGTAGCTGTAACAACGCAATCGAATGTGTGAAGAACGTAACAGTGTCTATGGTATTAGAGTTGAGCGAAAGTCGTACCTTTTCTCTCCAAAGAATGAAGCTAGGGTTCCGAAATTCGTGGCTTCGACCTTGGGAACGGCGATTGTTTGAAGATAACACGAACCCGTTGCTGATGCTGTCTCAAGGTACGAAGATTATAAAGGTAAATATTTTCTCTCTCTCTCTATATATATATATATATATATACTGAAAATGACTTGTAGAACATATATCTTTAATATAAATATTTTTATGATTATAATGTATATTTTTCCGATAAAAATCAGGCTAATTATTTTTAAAATAAAATTAACGAGAATGTATTCTTATATCGTTTTTAGAATTTTTTTCCTCATAATTTTATTTTTAAAATTAAAATTAATAAAAAAAATTATATAAATTATCATTAATTTCACTTCTAAGTCACATAAAATTCATAAATATATTGAAATATAAATATTTTAAAATACTTATATATTATTAAATAATTTTTAATTAATAAAAAAATTATATAAATTACCATTATTTTTACTTCTAAACGTAAAATTCATAAATATATTAAAACATTAATATTTAAAATACTTATTTTTATTATTAAGTAATGTAAAAAATAATTACTATCTCTTTTACTTTTTTTAAGAGTTATTACTAAAATACTTTTTATATTTCTATTATTTTTAAGAGATTCAAATATATATATATATATATATATATATATATATATATATATATAAGAGAATTGTTTTAGATTCAGGCACACACGCGTTTGTGGTAGCAGTCTTCTTCTCTCCATCCCAAGATTTCGGCTGTGATCCTCTCCCTTCTTCTCGAGCCCAACAATTTCCACAGTCAATTCCACTTTCCCAATTTCATCAAACTTCCTAAGGTAATATCTCTCGCGTAAATTATCATACTCACCTTCATAAGCCTTTTCTGCAACAATTCCGGAGTCAAAAATTACCCCATATAGTAAAGGATTTCCTCTCTTTCGTCCTGTTTTTTCAATACTTCCATGTTTCTCGCTACAAATTTCTGCATCGGTTTTGAAACGTAGCAGATTTTTTTGTTCCTGTCTGAATTTTGGAAATTCTCATGTATTTTGTATTTATTCAATTGATGCTATCACGAGCAAACTGCATAAACGACCTTCTAACAAAACCGTTGCTTATTCCATGGCCTACGCTTCTTCTCTGCTATATATTATAGCCCTAATCGTAGGAGAGCGAAAGCTACAATTCTAAAATGCAGGTTTCGAGTGCTATCAGCGACGTTTTGGTGGTGCTTCCGCCTTCGGCATCTCTCAGGCTACCGGAATTTCGCCACTTGCATGCTTTTTCTGTTTCTGATGCCAAGGGTTTTCTTTCCGGTGGATTTCTTAAAGTAAGCTTTCTTTCATTTCGTTTTTACTTTCTTGTTATGTACATGTTGTTTTTGCTTTCTGTTGGATGAATTTAGTACATAAACTTGGCAGCGAGATTTGTTTTATTTTGCACTGAATTTATTATTGCTCGGTATTATCATTGGGGATAACAGAAAATGGTAGAAAGCTAATAATTTGCTATATCATATAACTTATAGCGTAGAGACAAATAGTTGAAGTCCCGTAGTTATTAAAATGTAGGCTAAAATTAGCTTATACACATGTTTAAAAAATAAAAATTTAAAAAATTTATATGAAAGAATTTCTTTAAATTAGTTACATTTAAGCTAATTTTAGTTTATAGAAAAGTTCATCTCAATTTGAAATTTTTATTTTTCTCTCTTGGGAGTGTTTATGGAGAAGTTTTTCAGATTGGATACCGAAAATATATTTGTATAAGAAATTAAGTTGTATGCAAATAAATATAAATGCATAATATTAGCTCAAAAATTCAATTTACCAGATTCACAAGGGAAGATGTAGGATGCATGCAGAACACCCATAGTAGCCAAATTGCGGATGGAAGAAATTCCGCAATGCAGTATCATTAGTGCGGCTATATAACAGATAGTTATGAAGTTTGAGGATAGATATCGTCTTCCCTTGGAAGCTAATTAGCCACAGTTCTTTTTCCTTTTGGCTTCAAGCTTAAATCCTGCATACAATTTATTCTTTTTCATCACTTGTCTTTTTTTATTCCAACCTTTTTCCTCTCCATTTACTTGTAAGTGCCCATTTTACACACAGATACATTAATTAACTTGTCTTCAATACTTATATTGCCACACAACATGTTATGTTCTTTGCAGAGCTGTCCTTCGTCTTACAATACCAAGCACTGCAATGAATTCTACAATTTCCGAGCTAGAGGCTTAGTTGCAAGAGCATCAGCTGATTCAAGGGGTAATTCAGCGCCTTTTGCACCTCTCCAATTTGAATCACCGGTTGGTCAGCTTTTGGAACAAATTTCGAATACCCATCCACATCTACTGCCAGCAGCCATTGATCAGCAACTAGAGAATCTTCAGACTGCTAGAGATGACCAGAAAGAATCTTCTACTTCATCAGATGATTCCCTTTACAAGTAAGTCTCAACCAAGTTTTGTTTTATTTTTTACTCATTACTGATTTGATAGAAGTACCTACTTGGTAAAGAAAACTTGAAAATATTGAAATACCTTTTAGGACTACTGAAGCAAATTTAGGTTCATGGAGTTGTAATTAACTAAAAGACAATCTCTTGGAAGCTTTGGTAAAGAATTTTAATTTTTCAATTCTCCAACTGGATATTCTACTATCTTATTTGTAGAACCTTTCCTGCAACAGATGTCACACGAGAATTAGTGTTTGAAGATTTGCCTACTTCCTTTTATAATATTTGTCTTTTTCAGTCTTGAATTTCTTCATTCTCATACAGAAATGATTAATAAGTTCAAGGCTTAGTTGAAAAAATATAAGAATGTGTTTTTAGACAAGCTACTCTGAAAGTCCATGTGTGTCTATTATATGAGTGAGAAAAACCCCTAATAATAATTACACTAATAACTAAATCATATAAGAATATTGAAACAAAACTTGGATATATTCTTTATTGAGTCCATATTTTTTCATTTGATGCCATGCTTAGGTAGTGTATCACTTTTTATATCCATGAGATATTTTTCCGTCAGCTCTATTTGAAAGCTAATTATGTCATTTTTTATAAAAACTCCTGCATCCATGTGCACACAAATATAAATGATAGCACGCGATGTGCATTAATATTCATACATATGATCATTTCCTGTCAGCTTTATGGCAGTAGCTACTTACTTTGTTTATTAACTGATATAATAAAGAATACTATTTGTAGATAGACAGTGGCTGTTATTGTAATTTTAGTTGTAGATGAAAGTAGTTAGTGTTGGTGATAGTTGCTATGAAAAGGTTTGCTACAATTGTAAAGCTTTGCAGCCTATGTATTTACCGGTGTGAAGGATGGTTCTAGCTAGAAGAAGATGATTCTGGGTCATATTACTATTCTACATGACAATATTCTAGAGAAATCTATGCTAACTTCTTAATTTTAAGTACAATCTATTATATTAATTATAGAGTCACCAACATGTTACAGTATCCACTGGGTACATCTAATTTCTTATAGAATAAAAATCTTCTAGAAATTTGAATCAAATTTTAACATTAACAAATGCATTACTCACTTGTAAAGATACTCCCTATCTCTTCTGCATCTCATGCTAATGCATACTAATTGGAAATTTTATGCTTTCAATCTTTCATTATCGCAATGTCAAACCTATGGAGGATTGAAACAAGTTATATAGCAAAAATATATTTGCATCAAATGGTTGCTTATTTAGTTACTGGTAGTGAAGAAGTGATCAATTTTGTCAAATCTGAATTTTAGGAGGATAGCTGAAGTCAAAGAGAAAGAGAAGCGAACGACATTGGAAGAGATAATGTACTGCTCAATTGTACATAAATTTTTAGAGAACAACATTTCAATGATCCCAAAAATATCAGCAACATCAGACCCAACTGGTCGAGTGGATTTGTGGCCAAATCAAGAGCTGAAACTAGAAGCTGTTCATTCTCCAGAGGCATTCGAGATGATTCAGAGTCACTTATCCCTGGTACTAGGAGATCGGCTTGTGGGTCCTCTTCAGGCAATTGTTCAGATTAGTAAAATTAAACTGGGGAAGTTGTATGCTGCTTCCATAATGTACGGATACTTTCTCAAGCGAGTTGATGAGCGGTTTCAACTTGAGAGGTCGATGGGAACCCTCCCCAAGGATTTGGGAAAGGCTAAAAGTTTTGAGGAACCATCACCGGGTATCAAGCTTTGGGATCCTGATTCCTTAATCACAGTTCAGGATTATGACGACGATAGTTACAGTGATAGTGATTACATGGAAACTGATGGCAAATCTTTCAGACTAAGAGCTTATGTGATGCAGTTGGATGCAGAGACGCTTCAGAGACTTGCTACTGTACGCTCAAGGGAAGCTATATCATTGATTGAAAAGCAAACTCAAGCCCTGTTTGGAAGGCCTGATATCCGTGTCTCTGATGATGGTTCAATTGAAACCTCCAATGATGAATTGCTTTCACTCACCTTCTCAGGTTTGACCATGCTAGTTTTGGAAGCTGTTGCTTTTGGATCATTCCTCTGGGACAAGGAAAACTATGTTGAATCCAAGTACCCTTTTCTTAATGAGTAGACTAGATGACTGTACCATTAGATTATTTTACTGTACCTCTTAGAATGTAAACTAATGCATGAGACTTGGCGTTTTGGTCGTCAAAAAATTGCTTTCTATTCTTACAGGAATGGTCTCAAAACCACGTGTGCGTGGAGGTATATAGGGAAATGTACATTTAATATCTAGGCAGGATGATGATCTATGGAAGCGTGGACTTTGTAAATGATATATAGAATCTCAAACAAGTGAAAATTTCGTTTTTGGCTTTTAATTCCTGAACTGTGGCCTGCAAGCTTGTTCGGCCGAAGACTGAAAATACTGGCTGTATAAGAGCAACTACGATGCCAATTTCTTACAATCAACTCTCACAGGTTCTATAGCAACTTTAAATTGGTCGCATCACACCATATCATTCATAAACAACTTAAACCAGTTACCACATTTTCAAAAGTTTTACTTCAATGGTGGATTCTTTCAAGTAACCTAAACTTTTAATATTTTTATTTTCATTTCACATTTTCACAACTTATAAAGTTAACTTCATTATTATAATTAAATATTAATTTAATGTTTATAAAAATATTTGGTAATTAACATAATAAATAATATTTAGTGTTTATAAAAAATATTTAATAAAAATCAAAGTTAAATACATCACATAAAATGTTTATAGATTACACTAATTCATTTTCATTTTCTCATTTGCATACTTTTTTTTAAATATATTGTAGTAAAATTTAGGGAGTAGTTTCTTTTTATACAAAATTAATATCTACTATATAACATTTGTTAAATATTTTGTACAATTTTTTGAAATTTATTTATATTTAACATTATTCTATTGTCACTAAATGTAATAGAAGTTTATTTCGATAAAGTTGACATATTTGATATGAGTATTCATAAAGCGATTAAATTAAAATAAAACTAATTAAAATTTATTATTTTGTTAATAAATCAAGTTATTAAAGGGTTGTATGAAAAAATTGAATTGTCAATCAACCATTTTTCTTATATATTTAACCATTTAATGTCAATATTAAGACATGTCAAATTACAATTACAACTTCAAGCATAATGTCACGTCACAATAAGTTTTCGTGATTACTTCAATAAAATTGTCTTTTTTAAATATTTGTACAAAATTTCCGTAACATACATGAAAAATCATGTATCATCTTTATTTGGAATAGTCTTTTTTCGAATGTCTTCATTGTTAGAATTATTGATAATCCATAAACATAATGCAAAATATGAGACAAATATCTTTATATGCAATCTAAGACTATATTTTTCACCAATTCACACATGACTATTATTACATGATCTATGAGCCAACGTATAAATAGTACCAATGTATTTTTGCAACAATAAGGATATTTTTGCAAAGCAATATTATCATGAGTAAAAAAAAATTGTAATAATGAATTGAAATAGATATATGAAATAATTATTTAATCAAATTATATTTGAATATAATTTGGAGCAAATAAAAATTCCATTAAAATAAAATTACAATATCAACTAATATCTTAACCTACATAATTTATATATAAAAAAAATAAATTTACATGATTTTGTAATTAAAGTGATGAATTTTAAAATATAAGAAAGAAAGACAAATTTAAAATAAAATAGATAAATTACAACATATTTTTGTTTTTTTTTTTAATTATCATGATCCAACCATACACAATTTCTAATCTTAGTCCAATCTTCCTTCTGTTTTAATAAAGAAAACATGGATTGAATTTTTAAAAATATGATTAATATTCAATCTAAAATCAATAAAATAAAATTGATATAAAATTCATATTCATTTTATTATATTAAACTAATTTGGACTATAGTTTAAATTAGATTATATAATTTGTATTTATTTAATAATTATATTTAGATAGAATTGATCAAATTTAACCTCAATTGATCCGATTTGGATTAATTCAACATAATTTGTGTTAGATTTATATTGACATAGTTTGACTTAACTAAGCTTAATTTAAACTAACCTACATTAATTTCACCTAACTCGACTTAGATCCAACTTAACCTAATCACAATTAACCTAATTTAAGCTTACTTAACTTATTTTAGATAAGTTTGACCTAGGTCTCACGTAACTCTTTTTGACCATGTTTTTACTTGATTTAATATAACTCAAATTGACTTCGAATATAAGTCAATTTGTTCTTAATTCTAACTTACTTAACTCGATCTTGTCAAGTTTATATCTAATCAAATTTGACTTAACTCAACTTAAGTTAACTAACTTGACTTAACCTAATTTCACTTTCATTAGTTTGACCTAATCAAATTTTAACTAACTCAACTTAACTTAAATTTATCCTTATTCCACCGTATCCGAACTAGCCTAATTTAATTTAATCTGACCTAACTTAATTTTTCTAATTTAATTTTATCTAACTCAACTTAAATTATCCTTACTTAACCAAATCTATCTCAAATTAGCTTAATTTAAGACCCAAATAAGTTAAGTTTAACCTAAAAAATAACTTGATTTAATTCGATTTAAGTTAATTTAATCCTATTTAATTTAGTCATAATTCATCTAACCCCAATTTGATTTCATTCAATATTAAATAATTTGAATTTGATTCATTTTTAGTTATAATGATTCAATAAGACTTAATCATATTTTATGGGATATAATATAATTTGATTGGTTTAAATTAACTTTTATTTTATTTTTTAAAATAAAAATAATTCAATATATATATTTATATATAATCTGATTTATACTATTTAAGATATATCAATATAAAATAAGTTTAAACAAAATTACATTTTAAATAATTATAAATTATATTTAAATAGTTTAAAATTATATTTGAATATTTTTTCTCACGAAGTCTTCCACGAACCCTCACTTCCTATGAAACAAGTCTTCTTCTTTCTCCATTTCTTACATTCAGTCTCTTCTTCGTATCCTTTTATTTCTCCACTGTCGCACATAAGCAAACCCTAATCCTATTACCACCAATTCATCCGCAATTGTCTTTTCCAATTTCCCACATACACCGCACTAACATGGGTTACGAAGACGATCCGTGCGTTTGTTATTCCTCTTTCTCTTCTGTTAGTTTAGCGTTAGGGTTTTGCTTTATTCGATTCACTCTTTTTCTTTCAATTTACTTTCAGGTACCGCGACGAGGACGGCGAGCCCTTGATGGACTACGACGAAGTTCAATCTGACCGTGAGCCCTCTCCGGAGCCGCGCCACCAGCTCGATGATTACGAGGACGACGTCGACGAGTGGCGCGGCCGCGATCGGTCGCAGACGCCTGTGTACGATAACGATGCGGCGCGCTCGAAGCCGCGGAAGAGGCTGATAAAGAAGAGCGACGCTGAGCCAGCATCGGTGGCGCCGGAGCTCGAGGATGAGGAGGAGGAGGGGTATGTTCCTGAGGCGAGGTTTGATGAGGGGGATGGAAGGAAGAGAAAGAAAGGGAAGGAAGTTGGGAGTGGGAAGAAGGAGAAGAGGCTGAAGGGGGAGAAGAGGTTTGGTAGTGGCAGTGGGAAAGATGGTTCCAAATTTGGAGGTTCCAAGAAAGGGTTTGGTGGGAAGGCTGGTAAGGATCATGATGGTGAAGTCAAGGAGATGTGGGATACAATTGCTGGGGGAGATTCCGAGGTATTCTCACGATTGATTTTGAATGAAGAAATTGTTTTTGCATAATTGTTTTTATTAGAATTGGTTTTGAAGCAAATAGAATTATGTTTGGATGTTTTTATTTTGAAAGCAAGTTATTAGGATAATTCAGTATAAAATTTTCTCTTCAACCCTGAAGCTATTTAAACTTCAAACTGATTTGTAACTCAAAATGAATTTTTGGATCAAGCAAGTGAACGTGAAAAACTTCCTTTTGAAGGGATTGGGGACAATAAATGTTTGAAACCATGAATATAGGGTTTGTTTCTCCATTTTTAGTTTTTGGGAAATTCCCCTTGCCGATTAACCATAACTATTATAAGGGCGATGCTCGGGGTCGCACTTTTGGTTGTTGTTGTATCTGATCCTTATTTTTTATTACATTAATAGGATGATCACGAGGGTGTCAGGAATGTGGATGATGACAACTTTATAGATGACACTGGAGTGGAACCTGCTTATTATGGCAGTGATGAACCACGTTCTCCGGGTGATGCTCCTCAGGTTGGTTATTTATTCCCTTTTTTGTGTTTTTGATTAGGTTATCCTGCAATAAGAGTCGCTGTACTGGAAGAAGGTCTTACCGCCAGTGGTAGAATGTTAGTAAAACTAAAAATATATAATAATGTTCTTTTGTCTTCTTTGAGGTGAAGAATCAAGATATTGTGGGTTGTTTTTGCCTTAGTTGGACACAATTTTCTGATAAATTAATTATATGATTTGTTGCACTGCTTTTTCTAAAGGCTTTTCTTATACATTTTTGTCTGTTTCATGGGATTCTTAGGCAGAGGAAGGCGAAGAGGATGAAGAAATCAAGGATCTTTTCAAAATAGGGAAGAAAAGGAAGAAGAACGAGAGAAGTCCTGCTGAAATAGCTCTATTAGTTGAAAATGTCATGGCTGAGCTTGAGGTTACTGCTGAGGAGGATGCTGACCTTAATAGACAGGGGAAGCCTGCCATTAATAAACTCAAGAAGTTGCCTCTTCTTACAGAAGTCCTTTCAAAGTATGTGGTCAATTTCTTTTCATGTTACGTGTGCAGATTGATATTTTCTTAATTTTTATGCTACCTTATCCATTTTTTAATAACTTTCTGTCAACTATTTTGCAGGAAACAACTTCAACTAGAGTTTTTGGATCATGGAGTGTTAACGTTATTGAAGAATTGGCTTGAGCCACTTCCTGATGGAAGCTTGCCAAATATAAATATACGCACGGAAATTTTGAGGATTTTGAATGATGTAATTTGAGTTTACACCACTATAACATTTTATGTGATTATTTTTTACCAACACTATTTAGAATTTCATTTTTTTTTGTGTCGTTATGCAGTTTCCTATAGACCTAGAGCATTATGATAGAAGAGAACAACTGAAGAAGAGTGGTCTTGGAAAGGTTGTGTTTCCTTTAATCATGTGACTAACTTTCTATCTTGATAGGGCCTAAAATACCATCAAATATTGTAATCTATTGTTAATTGGACTTTTTTATTGTATTGACAGGTAATTATGTTTTTATCAAAATCCGATGAAGAAATCAGTGTAAACAGGAAACTAGCCAAGGAACTGGTTGACAAGTGGGTGAGTAATGCACGATTGAATTCTTGCTCCATTATACACTAGGCAAGTTCTGTCTGTTGTGTTTGGGCACTTGCGATACTGTTACTAAAATTTGCCAATTCTGGAAGGCATTACTTTTTGGGCATATTTTTTGTCGAATGACTAGTTAATATATTTTTTATATGGTAGTTTTCTTCTTTTACTAGAAAAATAAAGTTGATGTCAACTTTGCCTTGTACTTGCAGAGCCGACCTATATTTAATAAGAGTACCCGGTTTGAAGACATGAGAAATATGGAGGATGATAGGGTTCAGTTTAGGAGACCATCGGTTAAAAAGTACTCTTATACCTTTCTGTCTGTTTAACTTCTTCTATATTATAAATACTTCTTTAGACATGTTGAATTTATATAATTTTATTGACATCTTACGTTACAGGCCAGCAAATAAAGCTGCAGGAGTATCGAGAGATAGTGATCTTGATTTGGAAATTGCACAGTAAGGCCTGGAAGGCATTTTTAACTTTGTGTTGAGCACTGAATTGAGTGATAATTAAAATATATCGGAAATTGTTCTGAGTGTATGCAGGCCTAGGTCTGGACAGTCCTCTTCTAGACAGCACGCATCGAGGCCTGAAGCAACACCGTTAGATTTTGTGATACGTCCTCAATCTAAAATTGATCCAGAAGAAATTAGAGCACGAGCAAAGCAAGCTGCCCAAGATCACCAGCGTATGAAGGTTGGTGGTTGATTTATGTGAATGCTAAGCTAATTTATTTATATATATAATCTTGAAACTTCTATTAATTTATATCACACATTTAAAAAAAATGCTCAAGAATAAAATGTGGGTTGAAAATAAAAATGCTCAAAACTAAATTGTTCTCTGCAGATGAATAAGAAATTGCAACAGTTGAGAGCACCAAAAAAGAGGCAGCTTCAGGCTACAAAACTTAGTGTAGAAGGTCGTGGTATGGTCAAATATTTGTAAATGTGACCTCGTTGATTCTATCTCACGAATTTGTTCTGCGGTAAGGTTTGATATAATGTGGATTCTCCTAAAGGTGGATTCAGTAAGCTCCATGTAATTTGATGGGGAGGAATGTCATGACGGTGGATACATCCTGATTCTGCATTTGTTGTATATTCTTGAAGTGCAGCAGAAAATCATTCGTACATTGGACGGTATATTCTCGTCTCTGTTGAATAATCGGTTTGTGGTTTGCATTTGTACTAAATATAACTATTTAGGCTTTTTTTATTACCAAGCTAAATGCATCCATTTCTTTTCATGTAACTTTGTCTGTCCTAACTCCAACCAAGTATTCCAACATTTGTTTATGATTAAGTGTTTTTGGTTGTTACAAAATAAATCTGTTTAATTTTGATTTCTATAATTTATTATATTTCATCACTTTTTAACATTTAAAATTATTTTATTAAAGTCTCTGTTGAAGTATTTATTAGATTAAATGTATCTTGTTGGACATTTACGAGATTAGTTGTAGATCTAGTTCCTAGAATGCATCTGTTTATCTTCTCTAGGATTAATCATGTCTCTCTATTAATTGTATCTCTGAATCTGTATTTTTATCTCCTATAAATAAGAGAACACAAGATGATTTCAGGTTGTTAAAATCAGTTGTTTATTTTCTTTTTTCTATTTCAAGTGTCTCCATGAAATGCACGAAATTTGATTTTTGTCATTATAAGATTTTTTTTTTTATATTGTATTAAAAAAAGTATCTCATAAAAATTGGGCCAAAATAAAATTTCATGATATTTGAAAAGATGAAACTTTTGAAAGGATAAAAATCAAAATTTTCTTTAATACTTGGATTGTGTGTGTGTGTGTATATATATTAAAAATCTCGCGAGCATCTCGTTTTTGTAAAATGACAATAAATGTAAAAGTAACAATGAAATTTGTTTATATACCCAGCATCAGAAAGAATCAGGGGATCAAGCTCTCATTATTGGTTTATATACTATGAAATTTGTAAAATAACAATAAATGTAAAAATAATTCTAGTTTAGTAAGAATACATTTTTAATAATATAAAAATTCCAACAGATAATAAAATAGATAAATCGTTTTGAAAAGAGCTACAGTTTATAACCACATGAGAATTGAGTATTTGTTTCTCCTCCATTTTCTTCATGACTCTGGCCTAGCTTCCTTCAAATTTAGTATCTGAAAATCAATACATTGTAATATATAGTACATTGTAAGTACAGAAAAACGTACCTGTAAAAATGTTTATCTTTTGCACAAAAGGAGAGAATTAGAAAAAGAAACATTCAGTAATATGGATTCAACAGAAACGCCAATATTGGAACCACTTACCAAAGCAATCAAAAGGATTTGTGAGTGAGCTTGCTTACAAGATCTCTTTGCATTTCAAGAGTAGTAGTATTTCCCTTTTCTAAACCAGTCCTTCCATAACTCCACAATTCCGTCAAGTCTTGAGAGCTTTGCTTCAGCAGGATATCACTGACATGACGAATTTGTGGCCAGTCATCGCCCGTTTCAGGCGGACTCCTTGGCCTTAACAAGGGGCAATCTGTAATGATCAAGCTATCTAAAAGCTTGAGCTTTTCTATTCCTTTGGGCAGCGATTTCAACTTTCTGCAATTACAAATCACTATTTTTTTAAGCGAGGTGAGGTTGCCTATGCTTTCCGGTAGACTAGTCAGGGCAGTGCATTCATTAAGCTCGAGCTCTTCCAAAGAGGTAACGTCCCATGGAAGGGATTTGAGCTTTGGAATTTCCTTTATGGTCAGAAAACGAAGGTGTTTCAGACCCTCCCATTCACTCCTGGCTATGTCAAGATCAAGTTCCGCACATCTCTCAATGGTAAGACGCTGGAGTGAGCTCAAAGACTTGAAACCTTCGGGTAGAGATACTAATTGAGAGCATTCACGAATTTCAAGGGTCTCAATAGAAATGAAGTTTTTAAGCCAACTCTTAGGTGGAGATTGTGTAATGCGCGCAATCAGCATTGACTTCAATTTGGATAAATGAAGGAAGTCTTCTGGAGTTCTAGCATGCACCGTATATCCCTCATTGACCTTACGCTTGAATCCTCAAGGACCAATTCTTCACCCAGATAAGGGTACAAAGGCATGCAATGCAACTTAGGGCAGCATTGGACGTGAAGTTTAGAAATGCGAGTAAAGAATGCTCTATTGTCTTCCCAATTCTCAGTTTCCCACCAGCTTTGAGTTCCTTCAACGATGGAAAAAATGGTGAGCTAATGGAACTAGAGGAAGAGGAGCTTGCAGTGTTAGCGCTAGTTTGGTCACAGTTTTTGAAACGAACTCAAGGGAGTCCAATCTCCTTAGTTCGAGAACCCTGAGGTGTGGGAGGTGATCCAGTGGTGGTAGAAATTGGAAATTTTGACAATCATTTAAGCTATAAACTTAACAAGGCATTTAATTGAAGAAAGCCAATGAGAAAACGATTTACTATGGTACCCCACAACGGATAAAACTGCCAGATTTGGATTTGGCTCAAGACATTCCAAGGATTCCTTGTCTTTGTCAACAACGCCATTGCTTTTCTCCTCCTCTCCCTCTTCATGATCCCATTTTAAAGTCAAAAGAACGAAGATGCTTTTTAACCCTCAAGTACTTATCTTTGGCGTTCAATGGTGTTGGTGCAGAAACTTCAATTGCTCCAGATGCAAAATTTCCAAGTGCCCTCTGAGGTCTCAAGATCAGCGAGTTCCCTAAGACCTCCCATATGGTAGTTCTTGCTTGCCACAAAAAGTGACAATGTCTACAGAGAACTCAGCTTACCTATCCCACGTGGCATGTGAGTGAGATCAAGGCACCCCTCTGAGTATATAGATGCATGTTAAATTCATAGAAAAGTATTTAAATAAAGTACTTTATATTATTACTTGATATATTTTTGCAATAAGTGGTCTATGGTCAATATATAAGTATTAGACATGATCTTTCAACTACATATATTCAATATAACCGTTACCTCTAAACTACATATATTCAATACAATCACTATCTCTCAACTATATGTATTTAATGTTTACTTAACAAAATCCTCTCATAACCTTAAATATCTTTTTTGTTCTTCGTTCTAAACATCTTCTTGTTGTTCTCGAATGGAGTGATCGGTAGTAGCTCCGTGAACATATATGCAGTTTGTACTCGGGTATTATTCAATCCGTGTCAATAAAATTTAACTATAATAAAGATGAAAAAGGCACGTGTGGGGGGTCATGAGGAAGATCCAAGCCTCACATCAAATGTTTGACTTTTATAATTGTGGTAAAGATAATCACAGAAGGATGGATATCATATTCTTGAAAGAGATAAATAGAACCAAGAAGAAGACAAAAAGGACAACACTACAGTGATGGCCTTAGACAATGAGAACACATTTCCTATTGGTGAGGGAAAATTATGTAAATGTTTCGTTTAGATAGTTGTTTTGGAGCATTCCTTTATTTCACACCTCATGAAGGGTTCTCCTCATCATCATAAAGTGGACACTTTGGTATGGTGAAAATGGGAAACCATGTCATAATCAGGATTGTGCACATAGGAAAAGTAATCAAGAATGGAATAAGTTGGACAAAGTCAGAGGTACTAGTTTGGGGATGTTATATGGAAACTCGGATGAGGAAGTATATGATTGCTGTTTGCGATAACTAGAAAGGCTCTTTGTGCATTTACCCAAACAAAAATATTGTTTCACAATCCGAACAATGAGTTATTTAGGTTGTCAAATACTCCACCCTTGCACATATGATTGGGCCATATATCTAGCAGGGATTATAGAAGTCCATTTTCCAAAGATCAAATGATGGTAGGAGAAGAAAGAAAGTCGTGGATCATGTTGTAGGTGTTTCATGTATTTAAGAATGATAGATTAATAAAATTAAAATTACTTGAGAACTAATAATGGTTGAAAATACAAAGGTCTATCTTGAGCATTATATTAAATCTCATGGGACGAGACATAGCTAAATTCTTCAATAAACAACTGTAATAAAGCCTAAATCTTGTTTTGTGGCAAAAGTCCCCAAGCCATTTTGTGGAGAGGTAATAAGATATGTTATGGGTGGACCTACTCTTGTAGCCTTTGAGACTGCAAAATGGAGAGATAATATATACAAAACATGGCATGGTGGAGAGTGGATTAGTAACATTTAACTAATATATTAGTTTAAGAAAAAATAGTATGAAATTCTTTATGAAATAAATTGATTACAAATCATATTACAAAATTGATGAAAAAGTAAATTTCATGAGCTTGCTTTTGATAAATAATAAAATGGACCATACGAAATAACTGAGTTGGATTGGTAGCTTTCAAGTTTTTGGCAACTGGAGAGCTTCTTTGCATACTAAATACTTTTAAATTTCACACCCATAAAGTTGGTCAATATTCATTCCAACAATCGAATTATCTTACATTCAAAATAGTTTTAGGTGAGTAAAGAAGGGAAGAAGATAAAAGTAAAAAAAATTATATTAAATAATATTTCAATATTGAATGAAAGAATATACTAAAATTTTTCTATAACAAAAGGTATATTTAGTAAAATCCATTTCTAATACTCTACGAGTTTTAGGAAAAGAGAGAAGGAGTAAGAATAAGATAATTGCTGCTCTTGCTCTTACAGCGAAAACACGAAAAGCAGCCTCGGACCAACCTCAGACGGAGGATGGAGTTTTGGAGAGTAAGGAAAAATTCAAATTGATTGAGTAGATTATGATTATATTTAGAAGGAGGAATGGATTTGAGACATGAGGAAAACAATATTGTTTCGATTCAAAAAATAAAAACAAATTAATTAATTAAATTTAAAAGATAAAATTAATATAATTAAATAAAATAAGATTAAATAATAAGATAAAAATTATATTCACCAAAATTATATTGATAATAAGTAAAATAAATATAAATTAAGATTAGGATAATAATTTAGTATAGATTAATTAATTTATATTATAGATAAAAGTTTACATATATTAAAAATAATTTATATATAAATTATAAAAATAATTTGGGATATTTGAAAAAACATATTTAAATTTTATTTTTTATAATTACAAAAATTTAGAAATACTTATAAAATAAAAAATATCTAAAATAAATTTTAAATTATTTAAATAATTAATTATAAATCATGTAAAAAATCATAATGAAAAATAAAATTATACATTAAAATTACATTATTAAAAAATTAAAATTTATTAATAACTTATACTATAACATTAATATATTTAAATAAATTTGAAAGTATATTTTTTCAATCGGTGAAATTTTAAATACATTTTTAGTTTTATAATATAAATTATATGTAATTGTGTTATTTCTTATATTTTAAAATTAAATAAATATATTTTGTAATAATATTGTAATTATTTTTTAATTATAATTTTTACTTAAATTCTTATCAAATTTTAACTATAATTAAAAATATCATTTTCTTTAAATTTTTATTAATTATAATTTTTGTTTAAGTTCTTCACAGTGAAAAAAATTGTTCGAATATTATTCAATTTTAACTAAAATTAAAAATATTATAATTTTTCCTTTTAAATTTCTATTCTTAAATTATTTACATTTTTAAAATATTTCTTGGAAAATGATTTTTTGTCGCATTTTTTTTTCAATTTGACAACTATTTGAATATAAAATAAATTTAAAATATTAATAAAAATAAATAATAAAACTAATTTCACTTAACTTAAAAAATATAGTTAATTAAAATAAATTTATTCAAAATTCAAACTGAAAATTTTAATAATTATAATTATACAGTTTAGTTGCTAATATAAATTTTATATTGTAAAATTAAAAAATATTATAAATAAATAATTAATATGACAATCAATATATTTATTATAAAAGATTATATCTAACTAAATCATATTTTAATAATATATTTTATGTACCCTCTAGAATTATTTTTAATGCAAATAAAAGAAGTTGTATTTGTTTGAGCAATAAAATTGAATTTTATACGTTACATGATTTAAATAAAATTTATGTAAATTAGAGACAATCGCTTATCTTATTATATAATTGATTATTTTATCTTTAGGGTAATAAAAATTATAATATTCCATCTAACTTTTTCCATAAATCCTTTTATACTGAGAGGTTCAAATTAAATGTAAATTCACTTAATTTTTCATCTAAATCATCTCAAATCATCAAATCCAATTTACGTATTTCTCTCATTTTTTCTGCTTCTTTTATATAATATAACCAAATCCAAACATAGGTTAAAGATAGTTATGAAATTCACTACGAATTTTTATTATCCTGAGAACCCTTTGCTGAAGAATTAGATGTTAAAGGAGGCAAAAAATTGTGTGATAATGTCAGTTTGTTGAAAATTAATACAGGAAGAATTTTGATAATATTAAATTTTTTATGAAAGACTTACTAAATTACACATCTCAATCTCCTATTACTAATAATACATGTTTTACAGTGTCTTAATACTATATCCATTAAATAAAGTATTGTTGGATCCCTTCCCATCAGATATTGTCCACTTTAAAATTTTATTTTCTTAAGTGATTGAAAAAAATTAATTTTAAATTTTTTTTAACTTAACTATTTGAATTAATATTAATTATAATAAACTATATTAAAAAATTATATATATATATATATATATATAACATTTCAGGCATTTAATGTCCAAAAAATTGTAAAAAATACAATATTTATAATAAAAGTCCTACCTTATTTACTTTTTCTGTTATAAAATAAATAAAATATTTATCTTACAAATTAATCTCAAACCATTTCCTTTTTTTATTAATTATTAATATATTGTATAATAATTATATTATCTTATTTCTTAAAAAATATATTATTGTTTTTTCTTTAAATTTAACATTATCATGCTTGTTTTCAGCTCAACTCAATCTTAGCTGAACTCAGCTTTAACAAAGTAATTTCAACTCAACCTTCATGAAAGTATACGCCAAAACATCTTCACTTCTGCCTCAGTCAGAATTCAGAGATTTTCTCTTTTCTTTATTATCCCCATAAATTATTTGTACAGAAAATCATATAATGGACAACACTCACGGTCATTAACTATATTGCTTAATGCAGAACACTAACTTTGAAGCTATAGATAAGGTATGAGACAGGCTTAACACACTACATACAATCCATGTTTTGAATGAGTAAAAAAAGAAGAAAAATTAGGAATGAAGGATCATATAACATTAAACATATCTTAAGACTATAAATGGTCAGCTTTAATACAATTTGAACTACAAGCTATCCGAAACAAGATCTTGCTCTTGCTATTAAGTTAGATTATCTCCGTGAAAGGTGGCATGCAATGTTTGGTAGGTGCTACTGATCACTTGGCACAGCCTCTGTCTGCCCACTCTGTTGGGCGTCATTGCCCACATGCTGATTGTTCCTGCCAGACCTATGATGATCATCGTTCGCAGGTAGTTCCCCAAGTCTTTCCTGTAGATTAAAAGCATGGTCAGTCTTCCCCCAAACCTCATTTTAGGAGAGTGATGCAGGTTTAGTTATAACAGTCATTTTATTCCAGCCAGGGCCTATCTATGTTTTCCACCGAATATGGTAATTTATCACTCTGAATAGGTTAGGTAAGTCAGTGTCATACAGAACATGATACTGGCAGGACAGCTTATCAATTTGCAAAACTCTCAAATAAGGGGTAGGGAATTCCTTGGTTATCCTCCTTTCTTTAGTAAGACATTTTGAGCAAGGGGAAATGGTGATCTCCTTTTAAAAATTTCCAAAAGTAGCAATGAAAGATTTAATATTACCTTGAGAGCAGTGTTCTCGGAGAGTAACTGCTCATACTCACTCCTGATTCTACTTACTTCTGACCGGAGAGAAGCATTTTCTTTTTTCAAAGCCTCGGCACGCTGAGCTAACTCGTCACACTCAGCCTTCAGATAAAACTCAGAGGAGTTAATATATGCCATTTATGATCAATCAACCAGAGAATAAATCCCTATAGGGTACTCTATTACCTGCTTACGCAACCTGGATCTGCGAGCAGATTCCCTGTTAGACTGCTTCCGCCTTTGCCTTTTAAGCTCTCTTTCATCCTGAAAGTTATCAGAAAAGAAAAGGATTGAAGAAACTAATAGAGTAACAATAATACTTCAAAATCAAGTCTAGGAAAAAGAATTAAAAGCAGTATTGTAACAAGTTTATTAAAGACAATTCAAAAGATGTGCGTAATCCCCAGGTGAAAGCCTCAAAAGGAAATGGGCAGTTAAACCATTAAACTCTGTTCACATATTTATTCTCTACATGAAAAGGATATTACAGGAAAGAAACTGAATGAAAAGCAATTCTAATTGTGAGAAGTATGACATGATCAAGCCATGAGGCAGGGCAGCAGGCACAAGAAAAAAGAAATGATGAATGAAGTTGGGGATGAAAATGTAACAATTGTATATGCCTGAACACTCAGGTGAAGATGATAATCAGGTGCAGGTGCAACAGCAGCACTTCTGTTTAAAGGGGAAAATCAATTTAATTATGTTCATCAATTCTTAAAAATGTTGTTTGGCTCTATGTCCTGCCTTACATGACTGCAGTCAACACCAATTTATCATACATAACTTCACAGGTGGACACAAATTCCCATATTTCTGAGCCCCAATAAAACACACAAACCGATAGCCTTCTACCTGATTTTTCAGTACCCTTTCTAACAAGTTAAGAAGGTGCAACCTCCTGATGTCAAACTACTATTAAGTAGGGTAGGGACATGGGCTATTTTTTTTTATAGAGAGGGAGTTAGCATTAGGGGATGATTAGTTAGAATTCTAGCATATTGGCAGAGCTTGTTTAGTTATTGTTGGAATTATTAACCTAAGAACTATATCTATGATATAGTTCAAACTTTAGTCCATTGACTTTTCATCTACTCATTGTATCTGTACTATTATCATTATAAATAAAGAGGTCATATCAGAGGTGTGATGAAGCCCTCTAAAACAATCTTTTTTTACTTTAGTGTTATGTTATATTATATATTAAACTTTATTTTTAATAATATTATTATTCAGTTGATTATATTATGTTATATTCTACATAAAAAACAAAGGAAAGAGTTGTTGGACTCACATAGAGGCCCAACAATTTCAAAACAGACAAGAGATTAAAAAACACTGAAACCCTAATTATGAACCGATCCATCAGCTGCTATAAGCTAGAGCAGCCTCAAACAGACAAGGGAATGCAGAGTAGTGGGAGGTCATTGAGGCTGTCAGCAACAGCAAAGGTTGCAGTGTCATGCCACCATGAAGGTTACAAACACATGCCCAACAACGGCAAAGTTACAGGGCCTTGTCCGCCAACAGTGCAACAAACGAACAGTGGTGAGGCCCGTGATTTAGCACAATTTACCCTGAGAATAGCACAGCAACAGCCATGTGCTTCGCAACGAGTGCCTTGGGAGCAGCCCTTTAGCAAAATTTACCCTGAGAATAGCAAAGCAACAGCCATGTGCTTCACAACGAGTGCCTTGGGAGCAGCAAGGGGCCGCTCCGATCCACCACTCTGTAATTGCAGCACAATTGTGCATAATTGACTACTATGCTGCAAATAGTGATTATTTTCAGAATGTAGTTTATGTCTACAAACCTCCAGAAAACACTAAGTTATAAATTTTTCATCATATGCACAGTCTGAGAATAAGGATATGTTTGGTAGCAAGGAAAGAAAATGAAAAGAAAAAAAAAAGGAAAGAAAAAGAAGGAAATAAATATGAAATAAAGTGGAAATTTTTCATGTTCGTTCGAGAAAAAAGTAACATGAAATAGAAGGAAAGTGTTCATTTTAAAAAATAATAAATAATTAAACTAAAATTAAATATTTTTTTAATTACAATATTACCCGTATAATTATTAACTAGTTCTTTTATTAATAAAATAGTTTTTTAAATTAATCTCATTTTTTCAATAATATATACTTTGATATATAATTATAAATTATTATTTTCTAAAAAATTTGAATTTAAATTAATAAAATAATATCATATTACAAACAAATAAAAAAAAACATATTAAATTATTCATTTGAATTTTATAATCATTTTCATATTTATGATATTTTATTAAAATAGTAATTAAAAGTATATATATATATATATATATTATAAAATTGTAAACATAAAAATGAATAATAATTTGTTCAAGAGAGGATAACTTTATAAAAAAACATTTTTCTTGCACTTTCCAATATGAGTGGAAAGTAAACATATCCGATACAGTGACATGTTTTTTTTTTGTCACTTTCCTTGCTACCGAACAAAGGAAATACTTTCTTTCCGCTTATTTCAACAAATCACTTTTCACTCTACACTTTCCCTACGAACAAACATGACCTAAGTGCCATGAACTTCCAAATTCAAACATTATATATATATATATATATATATATATATATATATATATCTGTGTGTGTGTGTGTGAATCAGTTAATTTTGTCTAAATAATTTGGTTAATTGAGCAGTCATAATATGTTATCAAGGTAAGAGGCATCATATCATCAGTCTGTACATAACCTGTAGCCAGAGTTGTGACTGAACACTATCCCGTGATCCAGCAACTGCAGCAGTAGATGGAACTTTTCTAGCAAGTGCAGGAATGTTGGACGAAGCTGGTGTACCCCAATAATCCATTCCTATATTTAAGTTTGTTGTGGGACCAGGAGCACCACCTGCAGAGATAGGTATGATAGGCATAGTTTGATTGACAACCGTGTGAGGTGTATTTAGGCCCCCATTTTGAGGAGTATACGCTGAACTGCCATTTTGAGATGGTTCATCTGTAATTCAATAGAAAAGGTACATTTCAGCAGAACCACAACATATGGCACTACACCAGAAAGTTATAAACAATATTGAAACAAAAGAAAGTAAGCATGACAAACCTTCAAAAGAATCCTGCCTGCCCCCTGATTTCAATTGAGAGTCCTATGAAAAACACAAAGTAAATACTAAAATACCTATCATAATAATAATTACCTAGCATAAAGAGCAAAAGGCACAAATAATTTTAGGTAATCATAAGAAAACAGTCAATTGTTCCCCCACAAACATGAACAGCGTGAGCTATGTAACCCAGACCCATGTCATACTCCTCACCCAATGTAATGTATAATGTTTAAAAATGGTTGACATTCATAAAATATGTATGTCATTTATCTGACATCAAGAAATAACATAGAACATCCATTGCTACTTGATGACTTGTGCTGTTTTACAACAATGCTACTTTATGTCTTATGCTGTTTTACAACAAAAAACTTGTACAGAGCCCCATAATCCCCCTTCAATAATATCCTCCAGTATCTTTGGTCTCCACACTCCAACTCCACTTCTGGTCTCACAACCCACCGAAGCCTAAGTAAAGAGGAGGATAGTGTTCAGCTCTCAAATAACATTCAGAGTCTTTCTCCATTTTAACCACTCAGCTTCCTTTGTGTGATACTTTTATTGGTTTCTCTATCATTTAGTAATATTGATCTTAGATACTTAAACGTGTGGTATGATATTTTCTCTAATTTTTACTTCTTAAGTCATTTTCCTTTAGTTTTACTTCTACTCTAGCAAAAAAATTTGGTTCCAATGTTTGTTTCCAAAGCTCAAGTTTAGAGTTAACCTCGTATCTTAATCCTTAATCAAAACTATATATCTTATGCAAAATACATTATTGTCAAACTCAAGGAGGGGATAAAATTTCCACACATAAGAGTTGCATATACAAAAAACTATATTCATAATTGCCTATTACGAAACACTATTGACTTGTAAGATCCAAGACATAACCCAACTCAAAATAGGTTCAGTCATAAAATAACTCAATAAATAATAATTTGTTATTTCCTAATACATATTATGAACAAAACAAAACACTCCAAATCTAATTCACAGCAAGAACAGAAGAAACTATTAAGAAGAAATGATATAGAACAGAACACTGAGAAGAAGTATCTTTTAAATTGATATCTTTTACTAAAATAATTAAATAAGTATCACTGAGAAGAAAAACTCGAAATGACCAGTAACCTCCAAAGCAACAGTTAAGACTGACACAGGGCCTTGTTGATGGTGATGCAAGCGACAGCAACATTAATGCAAGTGTTGAGATGGCTGGCAACAGTCAAGGAGATGTTTGGTTCTGATTTGCAATTGGGAACCCAAAGGGAAAAGGCTCATTTTTTTTAATTTGGGATACTATAAACCTGACCAGGAAATCCCAACTACAGGAGTGGGTAACTCAAACTGATTAACAAAGCCCAAGCTCACACAAAACTTTCAGGATCGGATGCAATTCACAATCCACCAATTTCATGAGCAAAATAGTGATCCTGCAACTTCCCTTTTCCACTTTGTGTGTCATAGGATTGTGCAAGTTTACGAGTATACTTGCAATTTTGACAACATTGTCAAAATACATGCATTTAGGGATAACTTCAATGTCTCTAGTAAGCACATCTAAGACTAGACAAGGACTTAATATAAGCAAAATCCTTAGTCTCACCTCCAGGAGTTCCATCTCACACTTGTAGTCACCCTAGATACATATCTTCGTATAGCCAAGATATAGGTAAAGTGAATACCTTTCTTTTCCAAAGCCTTCCAGACCACAAAGATCATATGCTTTTTCCAATTTAAAAAAAATAGACATTAATCTCATTCTTTGCTTTGATACCTTTCCAACATCAACCCTCAGAAAATAAATAGCTTTGAATGTGGACCACCTTTATGTTAAGTCTAGCCACTCATATGTTTTATCTCCTTGTAGTTTACACAAAGTTTAGTGACAAGCTTTCAATAAAATACATAAGCTCTCCCCATTTTCTGAAATTGGAATTCACCACTTGTATTTCATAACTTTTAAAAAAGAAATAATTTTAAATGTTGTTGAATATTTTTGCCGCCACAGAATCAACTATATAAGGAAAATTACAGATCTTATTCAGAATAATAGAATAAATGCTTGTCAGGATAGCAATTGGACGGGGAATATATTTAGGCAGTACATAAAGGGCTACAGCATTCTTTTCACCACTTTTACAATTATCCTCCTTAAAATTTTAGCTGGATGTGTGACCATGCAAGAGAGAACAAGATACAAAACAAGTACATATATATTGATGAGGTAACGATAGTGAAACAGATGACAAAAAAATTATGTTGATGAAGTTTGGATACATGTAAAGATGGTCACCAGAAGCATTGATGAAAAGTGTAGACCATCGATTTTAGTCCTATGAAAAGAGACAAGACTGAGAGGACATTAGAGGAAATTGTTAAGAGGAATTTCATAGTGAATAATATCCCTGAGAACTTGGTCTTTAACCAAGCCCAATGACATGCAATATGTATCCAACCTTATCTAGTGGAATAAGATTTTTGTTGTTATTGGATATCCCTTAAACCTTACAATTACTGCAAACTGAGTATTAATGGATGCATATTGACAACATAGTGCAAAACTGAGTAAGGACTGTCCCTCCTGAACTTACGTTTTGGGAATTTGCATCACTTCCTTCACTGGTACCTTCACCTTCACTTGCACTATCACCGCTACAAATCAAAGATTTCTTATCAGCATAAGTCGCCCATATGCAATTGCAAATGGCAAGCCAATACTCAACAGGCTTAGAAAAATAAAACAATGCCAAACCTTATATTATATTTACAATTTCTGTAATTTAAAGTTAAAATACACAACCAAGAAGTGCAAAATTGTAAACGAAAGCTTACATGCTTCACTGCAGAAAATCAACTAAAAAATTAAAAGGACACCAAATAAGGAAACATCAACTTCAGGAAGCGACTACTGTTTCTATTCCCTGCTCACAGTACATGATATTCATAAACCCTAAGTCATTTATATTTTATCATTGTGGTTCACATGATGCTGGGCTCTGCAAAGCAGCACCAAAATCATGTATCAAAGTGGCCTGTAAGGTGTTGTTTTGTTTGAATAATTTCAAACAATTTTCTAACTTTATTTCCATGATCCAGAAAACAAGAAAAGCAAGACCAAATATTTTAAAATTTTAAATGAAGTTTATTCCTTTAACACCAAAGAGATATGGATGCAAATGTTACCAATAATTGCCGGACATCATATCAAATTCATATTCATTCCTCGAGTTTTGAATTCAAGAATTTGATCTAAGACATGCCAACGAGTTATATTGAGTACATAATAATATAGTCCTTCCACTATATATTAGTTCTACTATTCCCCTAGCTACAGCAACAATGACTGCTGATGGTGATTGGAGATATATAATAGCAAAATATTATGCACGTAAAAAGAGTGGATGCATAATTTCATGTAGCATATAATACTAAAATCAAAAATTTGGCAATAGGTAAAAACATTTAGACGTAAAAAGTGTGCCTTCTTGAACTGCTTTGATTCAAATTAGAGGGTACAAAATTCAACAAGAAGAATGATCAACACAACACAGCTTACCTCTTTGAATGAATTCCATTAGCAGATGTCCCTGGTGTTTTACCATGTTCATTACTTTTTCCTGTGATCATATTCAAACTACCCAAACTTCCTTTTGATCTTTTAATTGGCAATTTTTCCTTCACTTCAGGAGGCTTACCATCGGCTTCCATGCTGCCAGGAGTGTTTCCCTGCATGCAAACTAATAAATTATTTTTCCTTACTTGGATAAAGACAAGTTCTGCACAGAAGAGGGAAAAGACAGAGACAAAGAAAGGCTGAGAATGTAGCACAAAAAACAGAAGGGAAAACTCACTGAAGCCTCAGCAATGCCATTTGGAGAAGGCATAGCAAAAGGGCTAAAAGGATAAGATCCCTGTATAAATTTCAGGCAACAGTAGTTGGTCAGCTAATGAGTCAACATGATAACTTCAAGAAAGCATAGTTTTACAAAGAATACCGGAGGCATGGATGGATGAGCATAAATGCCACCAGGGGGATACATTGCAACATATGGATGTGGTGGAGTACCATAGGGAGGCATAAATTGCTGCAAATAAAAATATCATAAATGAACCAAAAGAAAATTAAGAAAGAGCTTAAATGAGATATTTCATATTGTTAGCAAAGCCTAGACTAGTTGTAGTGCAAACAAGGTATTGAACAAAAAATGATAAGCAAAGAAGACCATTCAACAATCAAGGAACAAAATTTAACGAGTTCATTTGCACAGGCAAGAATGGTTTGTGTCAATTCTTAATTAGGAATTTCAAGCCTGCCATTTTTTAAAGCATACAGTTTCTTGATGCAACAAAACTACAACAAAATAATTACACCTAAGACACGCAAGGAAGGACCACCATTAATCACAATAAATGCATACTGGAGAAGTAAGTACTTACAAGACATACTGTCCCAAACAATAAGCAAGTCTCAAGTTACTGTAAATCTACCATACAATGATTTTACAAGCGACCAACCAACACTACCATTGTTGGGTCCCATCTGAATAACTATAACAATCAACAAAGGCAACTAATACATTCATCACCATCCACCCCATCACTAACCATCCCATAATCACCAGAGCCATTACCAGAGTATAATTAGTAAGTCAAAACACAAAAATTGGTAAACAGGAAATGTAGCTTTACAGGCCAACAACTAAAAATGTATAAAACATTTCTACTTCATGAATATGATCAGGCTCAAACCAAATATACATTTGCTAGCACCTACCTGCAAATAATCATGAGGTAAATTTATTTTTAGTAATGTTCTTCCACATTCTGTTTACTGATGATTGTTGATTAGAATAACTAAAAAATATCTCGGAACATTATTGTACCTTAAAGTGTTTTAGAGTTTCTTATATCATCTTTTAGGAGTTTCCATATTTCATTATATCTCATGATTTGTTTCTTCATTCAATAAAGATCGGGAATCTAATATTAGTTTAAATTAATAAAGATTATGCCTTTGTATTTTGTATTACATCAAAACCATATGAACTTCAAATTATTCACTGCCCAACTCTCACACTTCCTCGTACCCTACCTAAAACCCTATAATTTCAAGAACATCTTTCATGACCTAGCCCATCACTGTTATGCTGATTTTCAGCATCTGTCAGTGTCATTTGCCATCCTCTGCCATGTGTTTTTTGCTACAACCTCACTCACTCATATTCATGTAACTGTTGTTAATGACAGTCAGCCCTCCAATGTGCTGCAGATAACCTCCACAGATGCAGCCTTGCCATGAAACCTGCTAAATGCTCACACTCACACACAAAATTCACTGTTCCAAAGTCCATACGCCTCCTTCCATCAGCCACCATCTTGCTTGACATGTGGTTCGCTTCTCCTCTTCTCAGGTTTGGTCTCACTTTGATCTACCAAATACCCTTTCTCTAGAGGTCTTTGTTTTGCAGTTACTGTCATATTTGGACATTCTTTATTGCAGTGCATAGGAAAGTGTGAAACCATATTTACACTACTTTTGCCAATGTGTGCCTTGTTAAGGTTCCGACATAAAACCAATTGACAATATGTGAAGTAGCCTAACATATATTTAAATCATACCAAATGACATGAGGTAGGCGATGTGGGACTTTCAACACGCCCCCTCCAACGAAGTTTGCCGGACCAGGCAAAGGGTACTTTTGATTCAACTAAAGGACAACTTTTGGCCCATGACAATAACCGGAAAAATGTTAGGCTTTGGCTCTGATACCATGTTAAGGTTCCAACATAAAACCAATTGGCAATATGTGGAGTAGCCTAACATGTATTTAAACTATACCAAATGACATGAGGTAGGCGATGTGGGACTTTCAACATGCCTCACTACCCCATCTCTAGACTGGCCTGGGCACTATCGCATTGTTTTCCACCCCCACGTGCTTTTTTAGCTCCCTTGGGCTCCAATCCGGTGCATTTGACATTTAAATTTGGTGTTTTTCCTGCCTTCATCAAGAGTGAGTTGTTTTCAGCTGGCTTGGGTTGATTCTTGGCATTCTTCATGGTGGTTATCTCTGATTTGGGCTGTGTTAGGCTCTTTCTTTATGTTTGTTTTTCTGACACAGACTTTTAAACCAGTTGGTGACTTCCTTTTCAGCCAATGATCATGCAGTAGTAGTGACTTTGAACTGATTGGGGGTGACTTTCTTCCTGCCATTCTTCAGGTGATTGGATTTGGCTATGACTCAAACCAGCCCCAAATAAATGTGTAGCTCATATTTCCAAGTTTTTAAGGTCTCTAAATCTTTTATACTGTATATTATAGAAGTGCATGTTTTTTCAATTACAACTACTTGCCAGGAAATTTCTGCTCATATTTCCAAGTTTTTAGAGTCTCTAAATCTCTTCTTTGATCATGCAACACTCCAACCAGCTTCTCAACCTGAGGATTGCTCCAGCCGTCTTGATAGTTATCTTACCAGCAATACTGATCTCCAACACGTCCAGCATATCTAGATTGCCTTGCCAGCCACATTTTATGGAGACCACTTTATATTTGTTCTTTTTTCCTTTTTACATTGTTCATGTGTAACATCATTATTATATGAACTATGGCATAATTTAAAATATCTTAAGATTCATTTTCTCACTTCATTGTATTTCATGATTTGTTTTTGGAATTACGAATCTAGTATCAGTATAAATAAAAGTTATTGCTATGTATTTTGTATACCAATTCAGATTATTCAATAGCTTATCACCTATCAATCAAAGTAATAGCTTGAAAAGAAGGTGGAGTTAATATTGAGATTATTTTCAACATTTTCAATTTGGCCACCGCTTTAAGTATGGTTCAGTTAGGTTTTAGATTTGACTAAGCAATAGCATACGGTAAATTTAATAACATTATCATGTACATGGGATTGGCATTTAGAATATAAGGGACAATTACCTGGACACCCCACATATAAGGGTGAGCCTGGGGACTTGATGCCAAGAAACCATGTGGAGGTATAGGAGAATAAGCCTACAAAATAACGGAGCTGGGTGAACCTAAATTCAATCTTGACAATAATAAAAATTATATGCCAACAAAAACTGTTTCATTAGAAACCTGAAATCCCGGCCAATCAGGATTAACTGTTCCAGTAGCTGTGGTCGAAGATTGCTCCTGGAAAAACAAGAATGTTTGGCGTCACACAAAATATACAGACCCTTAAGCATCAACAGAGATAAAATAAAGAAAGTTAGACCTGTGACGTAGGTGGTGGCGTTTTTGACTCCTTCTCTTTTGGAGCTTTATCCATCTCACTGCTGCCCATACTCTAATATCAATATCTTAAAAATATAAACTAAACCATCCTGCACCGAACATAACTTACATTACAAGACAGCCTCAAAGACACCATTCCCCTTCAAAACATACAACCAAATTCCATGACTGTAAAGTAGAGCATGTTAGACAAAAGAGTTGAAGCACATGATTTTTATTTTGAATTTAGTCAACAAAATCATTATATCACCAGTATCAGTTGTAACAATAAGAACCAACCAAGGCATTACTTTTTCCCTCCTAATCCATACAAAACCATGTCAAAATCCAACTTCTAATGGTGCCCTGCATTATCTTATCTCCAGACCTAAGATGGTACAAGTTCTGCTCAACTCTTTGATGACACTACAGCATTAATCTCCACCAGAATTGACAAAGCAACAACAACCAGAGCTCAGAAAACCAAGATAAAACAAACAAAAAAACAAAAAAATACAAGGTGAAATTTATACATCTCAAAAAGCCAGCTTTATGAACAATTCAATTTAAAGCTGATATTTCAAATTACCACTTACGTAGAGACTGTGATCCTCCGAAGCTTGAGCAAAATCAAAAGCAAGATCTGTCAAGGCTGACAGAACAAACGGAAAAGCCACGACCAAATACTCAAAGAAAAAAACTTGAAAAAAAAATAATAATAAAAAATTGGTGGATAGCACGAAGGTTAATCAGGGAATTTTATTTGGAATATACAGCAAAAAAGAATGATCTAGAATTAATTTAGAACTGAAAGAGGAGGGAATAATGAATTAGGGGTAGATCAAAACTTAGGGTTTGTTTGGTTAAGGTTAATGTTTGTGTTGTTTGGCTTTGGGTGTTCACGGAGAGAAACCCATGGATGGTCGTACGGTGTCGCTATCCAGTGAGATTTTCGTTCCCATTTTGCACAGTTTGTCAAATTACTATTTACCCCCTCTACCCGGTTTTTTTTTTATATACATATTATTGGTTTCTTTTTCTTCTACTCTATGTTTCAAAATTTAATGTTTATATTTTATATTATTAATTTTTTTACAATAATTAATTTTAAAAAATATTATATATATATGAATTTTTTATTTTTCTTCTTTATTATTTTTAATTTTTACATATATAATATTCTAATAATTATTTTTTATATTATTTATTAAATAGCAACAAACAATTATAATAATAAAATATCTTCTTTATATAATATATATAGTAAAAAAATCAAGACAATATCATTAAAATATTTTTTTCATATATATATATATATATATATATGATAATGATAGAGTATTGTTAAATTTGTGTTCATGAAGTTTATAAGTTTTATGTTTTTGTTAAATTTTCGTTTATCTAATCATCGGAGTTATTTTACGAATACTATTTAGAAGTTTATTCAATCAGAGTTATATATAACTAAAATTGTAATAACAAAAAATTATAATTTTAAATTAAATTACAGTTATTAATACAACTTTTAGGAAAACATTGAATTTAATTTGTATATATTTTTTTAGAAGAAAAAGAATAAAGTACATTTTTGTATTGAACTATAATTAGTTATTTTATAAATTAAAAAATAAAAAATCATAAAGAATATATAATCGAATTTCTGCAAATTATTTATAAATAAGTTTATTGTGTACAAATATTTTTTATTTTTATTTTTCTCTCCTAAAATATATTTACAAAAAATTTGTTCAAATATATCAATATATAATTAAATATAATAATAAACAATGTATAAACACATGATTTTTAAAATTAATTACAGTCTCATTATATTTAATTAATAATTACTATTATTATATTTTTATTATAAAAAAATTCCATAGAAACCTTGTATATATTTTATTATCCAAAAAATTATAATGTATATGTCAGTACTAAAAAAAATGCTTGCATCTTTCCTACCCAATAAATTTTTCAGTAATTATATCGACAATGTTTTTACAAGTTTGTTTCACATAACTTATATCTTTATTTTATTGTTTTTTATCTCCTACTTATGTTATACATTACAAATTTATAAAAAAATATATTTGATTTGTATTTGTAATGTTATATATTATTAAATTTATAATATATTTATGAAAAATATAATTAAATTAAATTATATTATACATTAAAAACTTATAAAAATATATATTTAATTTGTATTTGTAATATTATATATTATTAAATTCACAATATATTTATGAAAAAGATAATTAAAAATGAATTTTGAATAGGTTAATTGGAAATGTACTTTCACGTAACTCATTTTTGAACTGTATTTTTAAAAATATATTTTAAAAAACAAAATTTATTTTTCCGAACCATATTTATATCTGGATCAAGATAAATATGGATGCGGGGCAAAATCACCAAATATTTAAAAAAGAAAAAACTAGAAAAGAAAAAAAAGGTGGGCTTTTCCACTTTAAGCCCCATCAGACCTCAGCGGAATTGTTAGTTTCATCCTTTTTGGCTAAGTTTACTTCCCTCCCCCTACTTCTTTTTTGTAGTAAGAGATGTGATTTTATAACATAATTAAAAAACACAATTTTTTTTATAAACTTTAATTAAAGTACATAACAAAATAATGTTTATGCTGTTTTAATATTTTTCTTACAAAAATAACTATCTTATTTTTTAGATTTATTTGTTTGTTAATTTTAAAAATAATTTTTTTTTTAATTTGTAAAAAACGTTTTTTTGTTTAATAACTATTTTATTCAAAATATTTTTAAAAAATGTTTTTTTATTATTAGTGGATGTCAATGTTTTTATATAATTACATTAAAATTTTTATTTTATCATTATAATATTATCAAAATCACTTTCAAATTTTGTTATGATTATTTATATTATTTTTTATAAATATTTTTAAAAATATAGTTATTAAATATTTTTTTTTAATGTATTTAAAAAAATTGAATTGATATACAAAATTAATTTAAAAATTAAAAAATTAAATTAAATCAAACCTTTATATTTTTATTAATTTAGTTTTAATTTTAAAATATATTTTATTTCATATCTAATTTAAACCCTATTAAAAATGTAACTTTTTATCGTAAATAAAAAATTGTAACATGTTTATATTATATATAATTAATTATAAAGGCTTCCTTCGTGTATTTTGTCTAAAATAATCAATGAAAACAATGTTTTTTTCTCGTTGTATATCTATTCTGAAATACAATTTAAATTTATTTTAATTGTGTTATTTTTGTATTCAAAGTAACAATACACTTCCGTTGTGTATTTTGAGATAACTTGCGGCGACATTTACAACGTTTTTTTTTTTTTTTTTTCAGGGACAATTTCGTCGTCAATTTACCATGAAAAAGTTGGGAACAATGGGCGTAATAAAAATGAGCCGTTAAGAACAAAAGGCCCCATTATTATGCAGGCCTGGCCCATAACATCCTTGTCCATCTTCAATGGCACCACCACACTCCACTCCACTCCACTCTCTGCAATTTACTTCCCTTTTCTCGCATTCCAATTCCAATGGCACCATCACCAACGGATTCAGAACAAGAATCTGAAGCGCTGCGCCTCAAGGCGATGGCAGAGTCTAAGTTCAGAGCCTCCAACAACGCCAAATCCGCTCTCAGATACGCTAAGCGCGCGCAGAGTCTGTGCCCGCACCTCGCCGGCGTGTCGGAGGTCGTGACCTCGCTCACCGTCGTCGCCGCGCCGGACTGGTACAGCGCTCTGGGCGCGGAGCCCTTCGCGAACAGCAGCGTCATTCGGAGACAGTACAAGAAACTCGCGCTGCTCCTCCACCCCGACAAGAACCCCAACGTGGCGTCCGAGGAGGCCTTCAAGCTCGTCAGCGAGGCCTTCCACCTCCTCTCCGATAGGAGTCGCCGCCGGGAGTACGACGCCGAGCTCCGGCGGAGAATCGAGGCGGAGAACGAGACGTTCTGGACCGCCTGCTCTACTTGTCGGCTCCTTCACCAGTTCCAGAGAAGGTACTTGGGTCACGAATTGGTGTGTCCGAGTTGCGAGAAGAGTTTTAAGGCGGTGGAAACGGTTCAGAGTGATGGAGATGGTGATGGGGAAGTTAGGGTTAGGAGTAGGAGGTTGAAGCTGAAAGAGATAAATAAGAAGGAGAAAATTGGTGTGAGAGGGAAAGTGGGAGATGAAGTGAGGGATGAGAAGGAAGGAAAATTAAGGAAGAGAATGCGTTCAGTTGGGGAGGTGTTGGAGAGGTCCAAACCTAGTAAGAGGGTTAAAAATGGGGAAGAAATGATGACATTGGCTGAATTTCAGAATGAGGTGAGGAGAAAGTTTCAGGAAAAAAAACTGCAGAAAAAAGAAAAGGAAAAGGAAAAAGAGGAAGACAGGATTGAGAAGAGGAGCAACCGGGGAGAGAGGCGGCGGGGATTGAGAAACAATGGAGGTTTAGAGGTTGGAGAAGTGAGGGATTTGAAGAAAAGTATGAAGCTTGCAGTTGAGGAGAAGCGTGGGGGTTTAGAGAGTAGGAAGGGGTTGAGAATTGAGAAGCAGAAGGATTCTGATAGAGGGGAGTTAGAAAATATGGCGGTGGTGGATTCAGATTTTTATGATTTTGACAAAGATAGAGTGGAGAGGAGCTTTAAGAAAGGTCAAGTGTGGGCAGTATATGACGATGATGATGGAATGCCAAGGAATTATGCCTTGATTGATGGAACTCTTTCCGTGTATCCTTTTGAAGTGAGATTAAGTTGGTTGGATGTACAAAACAGTGGGGATGGGAAGATAGTTAGTAGGGAGAAAATGGGATTTCATATACCTTGTGGGAGATTTAAGGTTGCCAGGAAGACTTCTGTGAATTCGGTAAATATATTTTCTCATGTTGTGAATTGTGACCGGGCAGCACGTGAAATTTACAAAATTTACCCCAAGAAAGGCTCGGTATGGGCGCTTCATGGTGAGGGAAGTAATGATGCAGAGGAGGGCAAGAGATGCTATGATATTGTTGTATGTCTGACAAGTTACAGTGAGGTGAATGGTCTGAGCATGGCGTATCTTGAGAAGGTTGATGGTTACAAGACAGTATTTAAGCGGCAAGAGAAGGGGAGTGCTGCTATTAGATTTCTTGGGAAGGATGAGATGTGGTTAGTTTCTCATCAGATTCCTGCACGGAAGCTTCTTTGTGATGAAACTCCTGAACTGTTGAAAGACTGTTGGGAACTTGATCCTGCTTCACTTCCTTCAGATTTACTTACTATTGGTGGCATTAATAATTGAGGTTAGGCAATCTTTTTGGTTACAGACTCTGAATTTTGAAAGACTAGGTGGAAGTTGATTGTGGATGACTTGGAATATACTTACTATTGGGTAGCTTAAATTGATGACCTTTGGAAACTTTTGTACAACAAATATCATGTTATTAGGAAACCAGACTCCTTTGTAAAACTTGAATTCGTTAAAGCTGTAGATTAAAGTTATGTATACATGAATTACTATTATATTTGTTGGATTACACTGTTCATCAACACTATAAACTAGTTATTATGGCATAGTCGTGCTGAACCTCATCCACTGAATGGGGGAGAAGTAGTAGAAAGTATGTATTTATTTAATACCTCTGAAAGAAGAAGTCTCTATCTGGACCATATGGCAGACTAGTAACATTGTATCTCTCTGCATTCTCTTCAGTTACATTTCTGAAACAGAATCTGATTATGTAAACAAAATTCTGTTTTATAGTCGAACTTCTTGTTGATAGTTCAGTAAATGGACTATTTCAGTCTAATATATATAGTTCAGTCTAATATATAAATGGATTAGTTCAGTAATATGCATAAATGGACTTGATGATTGCTCATTTACTCAACTAATTTGACTAATGTAATTCATTTTATACCCATAAGGATCCAAGGTCAATCTAGGCATTTAGCTTTATAGTTAATTACTTCTTTAACTTTAAAACACAATCACAATTGGAGTTATTAATTCTTTAAAATACAAGCTTGTTATATTTTATCTCTTTTCCACCACTACAGTTTTGTATATCACATCAATCCCTATACCAATACCCTATGGCTAGACTCTATGAAATTGATGATTATAGAAGGATTGACTAAATATTTTTTTATATATGACTCTTTTTTCTATTGAAATTATTTAGTTTAACTCACTTAGAGTAGCTTAAAATGATTTAGTTGTATATAACCATTTAAGATTTGCTAAGTATAAATTTTAGGCTTTTTCTGATATCTAATATATGCTGTATATGCAGTGTATTTCGGCTAATATTGCATTGAAATTTGAGACACACAATAAATGAGTCTAGTCCAATTGAACTGCAATATTATATTGCTTAAGAATTGTGATTGTTGTAGATTGAATTACGGATGTATATTGCTCAAGGAATTAGATAGGCAACCAATTATCTGCTCTCTAATCTTCATTTGGTCACTATGCATTTTGTAAATGATTGTTGTTTATAGTTTTCACACACAATCAAATCATATTACCTTTTGTTACATTTATTACATAGATTAATGGTTGTTTTCAAATACACTAATAGTACTAACTAAGTTTATTTTACTCTATTTTAGAGTTAAGGTGTGCTCTTAAATCTAGGCAGACATTATTTATGTATATAATGTATTTCAGATATTTCTGGTAGCAAATATGTCGTACACATGGATTTTAAACCAAAAGATGTCCAATTAACCAGAGTATCATCATATCTCTATACAGCAATGTTAATATTGTCAATATTGTCCGGACATACAGTTTTGTAATGTTTTATCATGTATTATGTTTCTTCATTTGCAAACACATTACTTGTCAGGTTTATGCAGTTTTATGCATGTAATGTAGTTCAGATATTTGTTTTCCATTAAGAATAATAAAGTGGTAGCAAAGATGTCATACGCATGAGTTTCAAACTAAGATGTCCAATTAACCAGAAAATACTACTATTTTGTCATCCGGATATATATATATATATATATAACGTTTTGTGATGCATCTTGTTCATTTGCAAACACATCACTTAGGCTCACTGCAACTATCTGGTTTAATCTTCAAAACTCATCTGAAGTAGAGAAAATGCCTATTATTTTACAGGCCCATTACTTAATTCAGCATCAATGTTATTCTGTCATTTGGTGTGATTTGACGGTTCATACATTGTGGTAAATACATATGAGAAATGTTTTTATACAACAAATATTTCATGTTTCTTGCAAAAATATTTTTATATTTTATAATTTAAAATTAAATTAAAAATATATTTTATAATCAGTTTTTATTTGAGATAAGAATTCTTATGTTTTAGGAATGCTATTTGATTAAATTTTATCTCCTTTGTTCGAAAGCTTTTCCATGTTAACAAGTTTTGTTTTCTTATTCAGTTCATTATGTTTCGTTGCTATTTGTTGTGTAATTTTGAAGACAGCATTTTCGTTACATTTTTTCTTATAAATAGGGGTTACTCTTGAGAAAATCATAGCAAGAAAATAGAATAAAATGCCAGTGTATCGGTGTATTCATGTATAAATAGTATGTTACTATAAAATACTTTTTAACTTTATTGTTCAGACACTGCTGCAATTCAATTTAGATTATTATTATTATTATTATTATTATTATTATTATTATTATTATTATTATTTATTAATTTTAAATATTATAAACATGGTTTATGTTTTAATTCTGATCAAAACTTGACTATTTGTTATATTGTTTTATTTTCTAACAAATATCACTAAGAACATTAATGATAGATTTTCATAAGAAAATGTAATTAAGTGTAACTCGTAATGTCAAATCATATTTAAATAATTCTTTTTAAATTTTTACAAATCCATTCTAATGGTGTGTTTTTATAAATAATTTATTATTTAACTATTATTTTTTATTTTAATAAGATTTACTATGTCACGTCAGTAATAATTATAATATATAATTAATTATTAAAATAAAATAAATAATATATTTAAATTAAAAAAATAAATTGACATTAAAAATACGATTAACATTAATTAAAATATAAAATATTAAACAACAATAATAATTAAAATAAACAGAAAAATATTAAAAATATAAAATGACAAATAGATGTTGAATCTTGGTGAGAACTGGAAAAATTTGAAAAAAGTAATTTTTAGGAACATTACTTCTACAACGGTATTTAACTTTTTAAAAGTGTGGCATTGTTGTTGCCAGGTGGAGTTGCTCCATGACTATCATTTTTTCTTTCACTTATAGATATTTTTTTCAACTTCACAACTGTTACGCATAATTAATTATATTTTTTAATATTACATATTATTTAACTAAAAATAAAATAAATACATAACAATCAAATTAAATAAAACTTCAAATTCGACAAATTTTATTGTTTTCCCATAATGTACAAATAATAGCAAAAATTCGTTTTAAATACATATATAGAAATATTTTTATTAATAAATTTGTTTAAAAACTGGTAGTTCTATCACTAAAATCTTACTTAATTTTCAAATTTATATATTTTTTAAAAGGTTAAAAAGAAAATTAAATTTTGAATGTTCAATTCTAAAAATTAATATATAGAAATTCAAGGGGAGGGGATGATGTATCTCAATCCAAGGCAGCTCAAAACACATTTATTAAAAAAATTATATTTATATTTACCAAGACATATGAGAATATGAGTATTTGACTTAAAATATTTGAGACTTTGTCTTATTCTATTTTGTTTTATTGTGATCAACTTTAAAATAAAAAGGTGGATAGTTATTATTATTATTATTATTATTAAATCTCAATTTTTATAATTATGTTAATAATATAAACTATGTATTGATTAATAATCATTAAAATTTTGATTAATCACTTTAATAACATCTCATGTCGCAATAACTTTTTTCATCTATTTCTATTTAACTATTATGGATATATCTAAACATTTTTCTATTTTTTATTCAGCCTATTTTTCCTATTTGTTATTCAACCTCATTCCTCATTTATCTTTTGGCATCTTATGTTCTGTTCTACGATAGTAAAAAAAAATAAAAATCATACTTTTAATACACATTATACGAAAAATTTATTAAATGAATTTAGTGTTAATTATCATAACATATCTTTAACATTGACTATAAATCCATGTATTATAATTTCACAACCGCATATGCAGATGGCATAAAATCAGGAGCAAGAGTCTCTAGTGGGCACTAAAAAATGGAAAATGAGTTACCACCCGTGATAGTAAGACTGTAATCATAACCTCTCTCTTTTACACCTCTTAAGACTATTATTTCAATCATTTTCCAATTTTAGGTTCTTTCTCAAACATTATTTAAGATAATCAAACATTTTAGTTTGCGCATTTTCATTTGCCACTTTGTTTTGTGTTGGTTAATGAGTGCATGGTTGTTCCCCAATCAATTTCATTATCTGAATATCTCTCTCCAACTTTAGTAAGGAGGAAGCTTTTCTGAAACAAGCTGGCATGGTTCCATATTCAAATGGATTTGTTATGCCAAATTAATTGTTAATTATTGTATTAACCCAAATGTATGTGAATGATTGTTGTGGCTGAATCAATTGTCCATTTCTACAGGGATGGCACAAAACTCAATGGAAGGTGGGTCCCCATGGCACCCCATACCAAGGATTTGGCTCTCACTCAATCTTTTTCATTTTCTTTCTCAACAACTACTATAATAGAATGAATGTCCTTTGCATCATGCTCTTTAAATTATTCTTAATCCTTTGCTATAGTTCCAATCCAATTCATTTCACTATTACCAAACAAATTTTAACCTAATTCTCAACCACATATTTATATGTTAACCTAATTCAAATATTAATATGTGTAGTTTCGCATCTTATAGGCTCATAGTTAAATCCTTCAGTAGTTAAAATGACCTAATTCACTCCCTAATTTATTCCATTGAGAGATCAATTTAAGGACCATTTTACTAATTTTCTGTCAAATTTTTCATTTCTTCAAAAAATTAAATTTGCCTCAATTGTGACACTCAATTTTATTTTATTTTTTTACAACTCACATGATTGTTGAAAGCAAAGTCCTCCCCTTGTAAAAGTCATCCATACATAACGCCATTGTTGATGGAGGAACCTTATGTTTTATTAATTAATTATAATTTATTACAAATCACATATTTTAATACATTTTTTCTCTAAATAGTAAAAAGAACTTTACTAAAAAATATTTTTTATGATTTAGGGTATATTTTTAACATTTAAAACTCTCAATATTTCTGATAAATTTCAAATTTTAA